TTTAGGTGATATGGCTGAGAAGCGATGTCAGTGGTGTAGATGTATCCACAAATTATTCTTATCTTAACGATGCTATACCAAATCTCACCATTTTGTCACTCCTCTTTTCTTTCTTCTCTTACTTTATATTTCTTTTGACTGCATTCACTTATCTTCATCCTTCACCTCACTACCTTTTTACTTGATGTGCTGATATGAGGTGTGGCAACTCGGGCCGTTGCTCAGTAATGCCTGGTCCTATGTTGATATTGATGATGATGAATTGACTTGCCTGTTACCTATCACATGACCTCAAATTGCTCACACGGTGGTTCCATCACCCACGAGCAGTGCTACGAAGATGTCTTTGATCGGAACGCAGTAATTTCTTCATGTCTTCTACTTTTAGTGGCCATGCTTCACAGCCGTACAAGAGAACACAATACATTGCCTTATACTCATCCTTTGATAAGTAGTCGGATACCTCGCCAGTCGGCTCCACAGATAACGCAAGTTGGCAAATGTCAAACGAACCTTCTATATTCCAGATGAGATTTCGTCAGTAACCAGCCCGTTCGGTTCTATGCAACTCCCCAAGTGAAGTGGTCCACACATTCCACCACTTCACCCCGTATCACTAAACTAGGAGTATTTGCAGCAGAGGAGTCCTTGGGCATCAGGTGCGAGACGCATGCCAGCCAAACATACTCAAATTTCTGCTCAGCGTGTTGAGAAAACCCTGTCTGTATTTTGTCAGCGTGTTCACCCAGTAGGATAATAACGTCTGCGTACACCAACCCGACCGGATGACCTTCAGGTAGTACTTCAATCTCTGTGAAATCAAACCTGCCTAAGGCTATGTCCATTATTACGTCTATTAGGGGTTTGCACAGGAATTGAGACAGTTGGTATCCGTGGTGGACACCATCAGCTGTGATGAACTTTGATAAAAGCTTTCCATAAGCCCTTACACGGCTGGATGAGTTCAAGTGGAGCTTTGTTGAGGATAGTACACTTGCTCAATACTGCCGTGAGAGTCAGAGGCTGACGTGACACCTCATGGTCGACATAGTCAAATGCCACCATACAGTACCTAGTACTTCAGTCACCTTAATCAATAATTTCGTATCTGCGTGATTGAAAACGTTCGGTGACAAACTGTCAGGTCCTACCGCTTTGCATCTTTTCAAGTAAGAAACAGCCTTCTGAACTTCAGGAAGCGTAAAACGATGGGTATCTACGTGTCACTGAGTTTCAAATGATAGCTTATAGCAATATGATCGGAGTCGATCATTGGTTTGATGTCGGTGGACTCTATGTGAGACCATCTGAGCTTCAGTAACAAGGGGAGAATGGCGTATGCCATTTTTGGCTAGTCCAGGTTCTTGGGCAGGATTGGAGAAGCATGCCCCGGCGGAATGATCGATTCCACACTGCGTTACACGAAACTGACTTCAAGAGGTAAGAAGACCGCAGAAACTAAAAGGTACGGGTGGTCTAGTCTCAGATAGCGTTTAATGGCATCTGACACACCGTCGTAATTTGTTATCCATTATTATTTTTCCCTTGGGTTCCTAGTGGAACATAGGGCCTCAGTTGCACGTCTCCAGTGCACTCTCTTTGCAATCTTTTGAATCTGTCAACACAACTGCCCACAAGCTCCCATTTCTTCCTCATACGATCTCCCCATGTCGCCCTCGCCTCGGACTTCCAACTCGTCGTTTCCCATTTGGGTTGCACTCGAGTGAGTAGTCTGACGCTTGATGTCCCCGAATGGCATTTTCAGTACATGCCCAATCTATCTCCACTTCCTTCTGCATGTTTGTTGGGCGATAGTTTGTTAGTTGGCTCGTTGCCAGCCAGCAAGGATTCCTTGTGTATTCTCTCTGGCCATCTGAGCTTCAGTAACAAGCGTAGGCAGCTGTCGATGAATATCTGTAGTTTGTCGGAAATGCCTTTCGTAACGCGTCAAGTCTCTGAACCATATAGAAGCACTGACTTGACTGAATTGGTGTTGAAAATCCGGATCTTGTTCTTTATGCTGAGTGCAGAAGATCTCCACACCGGTTTTAGGTTAATGAACGCCTGTCTTGCTATATTCCCGATCCTGGCTTTGACGTTCTCGCCTGTGCCACCCGTAGTTGAAACGATGCTGCCTAGGTAGGTAAAAGAGACTACTTCCTTTAAGTTTCTCCCGTTGGTTGTGATTGGTGTTTGTTTTTGATGCCGTTGTTTGTTGGGTATTTTCATCACCTCTGTCTTCTCCACACTCACCTGAAGTCCCGTTTTCGCTACCTCTTCTGTCAATTTGTTAGTTTTCGACTGCAGATTTTGAGATTGTGCGACATTCAACATAAATCATCGGCGGAATCCATATCTTCTAGGCTCTTTTCATCGGTCTAGCCAGTGTATGCCCATCTTCTTGTTCCTCACGGTTCGCTGTGTGATCCAGTCCGCCACAATCAGGAAGATCGTGGGTGATAATAGACAGCCCTGTCTTACTCCTGTCTTCACTTCAAAGGCATCGCTGAGCTTCCCATTGTGAATTACTTGGCATATGGCGTCTTCATATAGTTATTGAATGAGGTTGATAAAGGTTTGTGGTATTCCGTAGTGTTGAAGCAGTTGCCTGGCAAATTACTTCTCAGTCGACACTGTCGGGGGCCTTTTCAAAGCCGATGAAGTTGAGTTGACTGTCATTTTATACTCTTTTCCATGATGATGCGTAGTGCTGCAATTTGATCCGCACATGCTTTGTACTGTCTGAATCCAGCATGTTCCGGTCGTAATTTTGAATCCAGCACATCCTTTAGTCTCTCCAGGATGATGCGGCTTAATATTTTGCTTGGGGTGGACAGGAGCATAGTCCCGTGCCAGTTCTTGCAAAGATCTAGGTCTCCCTTCCCTCAGAGTTTGACTGGGTAGCCGTTCTTTTAATCGATCGGCAGGTACCTTTCCTTCCTTCTCCCCCTCCATACCTTCTGTAGTAGTGGTGTTAGCATGTCCGCTGTTGTCTCTGAGTCCGTTCTCAGTGCTTCTGGTGGGATTCCGTCTGGTCCTGCTGCTTTCCCGCATTTCAGTAGCTTTATGGCGTTCAGGACTTCGACTTTCGTCGAGGCGCTTGTGTTTGCTGGCATTTCTGTGGCTGCAGGTGGTATTTGTGGACGAAGTGCAGGTGGTGATGATGGTCGATTCAAGAGTTTTTGAAGTGGTCGGCCCATCGTTTCCTTTGTTTCTCTTCTTTGGTAATTAAATTCCCCTCATCATCTTCTATTGGTTTCGCCTGTGTTGATCTCTTCCCAGATAGTGACCTGGTCAATTGATACAATGTTGTCAGGTCTCTTCTACCAGTAGCCTTTTCTGCTTCACTTGCCAGTGTGTCATAGAAGTGTTTCTTGTCTTAGCGCGCACTCTTCTTCACTTCTTTGTCCAGCATAGTGTTTTATGCATTGTACCCAGTTCTTCTTTTCGTTGTTCATTCCTGCACTGCACTAGTTCACCTTTTGCTTCACCATCTTCCTCTCCCTGCTCTATCACCTTCCATGTATCCGTGAAGATCCATTCCATGTCTTATTTCCTCTTCTTTCCTAATACGGTTATGCAGGCTTCTTTCCACATCTCTTTCAAAGAGTCCCAGTGTTCATCCACACAGATTTCTTCAGGGATGTTGCTCGATATCTCCCGTGTTGTCTTGATGGCCGATGTGAAGATGTCCTTTGCAGTTTCATCCTTCAGTTCAGTTTCTGGGTGTTGAACTGTGGTATATCACCAACTTCCTTTAAAGCTCTCAACTTGATTTAGAGGGTTCCTTGCACTAGATAGTGATGTGAACCTACATCTGCTCCCCTTCTTGATCTTGTGTCAAGTAGATTGCGTCTCCACTTTCTTCACATTGAGATGAAGTCGATCTGACTTTTAGTGTGTCCTGGTGAAATCGAATCCATGTCGCTTTGTGGATATCCTTGCGCTTGGACACAGTGCCTCCAATCACCGAATCGTTGAATGCGCAGAATTCTGCAGACAATTCTCCATTTTCATCCATTTCACCGAGTGCTTCTCGACCCATGATGAGTTCTCTTCCTGTGTTATCCGCTCCCAGTCTGGCATTCATGTCGCCCATTGGAATTTTGATGTCGCCAACTGGGGTCTTGTCCGGTATAGATTGCAGTTGTCTGTAGGATTCCTCTTTCTTCTCTTCATCTGCCTTATTTGTAGGTGTGTAGCGTAGTACTTAATGGCTGTGACTTTCCTTCCCTTTGAGTTGAACCTCGCTGTCATGATCCTAGGGGAGGAGATTGGTTCCCATCGTATGAGAGCCTTCGATGCTCTTGGGGGCATCATGATAGCCACTCCAACACTCAGTGCGCTCGTGTTTGTCGTTTAGGTGACAATACCGGAGTGGATTATTGACTCTCCAGTTGATAGTTTGTAGAGTCCACATCCATCCTATCTGCTTTCGCATTTTCATGTCATGCCTCCTCATCTCCTTTGCAATCTGGACAGCCTTGCTAGGTTCAAACGTAGTGCGGACATTCCATGTTTACTTTCGCTTTCATCGAGAGAAAAGAAGACACATCAGCCAATTGGCTTTCACCAACTGGCGTCATTTCGCCCCCCTGATTTCAGCGAGGAACAAGCTTGTTTTTATGTTTTATATTTTGATTGTGCTTTAAAGTTTCTGTAGCGGCTGGATTTGTTTTACGGAGTAGGGCTGCTAGCCCTATGCCCGACCTTACACCTTTACCCGGGCTTCGGACCGGCTAGTATCTAGTTAACCCGGCGAGAGGTGCAAGATGTACACAGTGTGATGTAGGTGAATATTTCGACATCCAAAGAAACTGAGAAATGTGACCCACTGCTTAAGGAGTTTTTTGCTTCCACTAAAAATTGAACCGGATTCTTATGGGATGACCAATGATTATGAGATTTAAATCTGTGAATTTAATAATTGCCTGGATACATATTTTAGTCCTGTGACTGAAAATGTGCTGATGCTCTGAATCTATTTACTTGGTTTTTAGATGCCTGTGAATGCCGTAAATCGAATTATTGCACAGATGACAAGTGATGGTTCATTTAATCGAGTTTTTCAAGGAATTCAAGCTGTTTCACTGACGGATAAATGCTTAACGTGTAGGTTCAAAGTAGGCAAAACTGAAGCTAATTCATTGAGCACTTTACATGGTGGATTCATTCTCGGAGCTGTTGATTTTATATCTACAATCGATTTGATGAGGTTAGGTTTTATGAAACATGTGAGTGTAAATCTTGGAACATCGTAAGTTATTCTGTACATAAATAATTTGCTTTTATATCATTTCAGATTTATTAACCCTGGAAAATTGGACTCATGGATCGATCAGATTCTTTTGTATTGAAAAAAGGTAAACGCTTAGCGTTCTGTGAAGTTAAATTCATGAATGAAGAGTCAGGGGAACTGATAGCACACGGCACTCATACAAAATATCTGATAGAAAAAAGTAGCCTAGGATTGGAAGACAATCGGTAGTCTTTTTGATTCTTTAATTATTGGACAATATTTACCAGTTAAATAAGATGTTCGAATGTTAATTTCTCTTGGTTATAGTTTAATAGACAACTGAGTATATATATGGCTGTATTTTTGTGCAGTATAAATTACGATAATAACAGATATGCGTAAAAGGTATTTCGACTTATAACTTCGGATCCTGCCTACCTTTACATTCACACTAACCGCGTCCTAACAGTGACAGAAATTCGTTCCACATAAACTTAGTTAAGATTCATTTTTGATGTAGGAAGTCTAGTATTGTAGTAGATGTAATTCGATGTGGGAATTAGTGATATAATATGTACTTAGTTCGATCAGTCATTACCTTCATACAACTACATGTAAAAAGTGCTCCCAGTTATCATCCATATGCCAAAGATACGAGAATACAGTTTAAGAAATTCGCTACCGAGTAAGGCGCATATCGGACATGTTCCTTATCACCTGATTATTCTTCAAGATTTCATCAATGAACAAATCATATTCTAAGGACCTACAATGACAAAGACATTATTCTTACACATAAGGTACAATTAATTTGAAGTACAGTGGCACTCTGACAAGTTCTCTTGTCTTGTATCTACTTTACTATTACATACAGCCAAGTCACTTTAGTTGACTTAAAGTTATCTTGTATACACTTTACAAAACATTCGCTTATCATTACCATCTATGAAAAGATGGTACTACTGCATAGAAATTGGTTAATGGATCAATGATACTGTTCTCCATGTCAGTAGGAACTGTTACATACTTACCTATGGAAACCGATAATAAACTTAGTCTGAACGTAAAGATGAAACACTACCACAGATCTAGACTTTAAGTAAATTAACCAATTTAAAACAAAGCAAGTAATTGCTGGAAACCATTTATTTTGATCAATTACACTGAAGATGATAACCTGTAAAAATAGTCAACAAGATTTGTTCTCATACACTTTGTACTTATAATAGTACCAATTGTGACCAAGTCGATATTTATTTACACTTTACAAATGTATTTTCGCAGCATACATAACAAAATTGGCTTTACGACTATCGAAATCTCGACATTATATTCTATAATCCAATTGATGGTGTACACACGAGGTGAATGGTTATAAAACATTTATCAAAAATGTAGAAATGTAACTGTTTTCCGAACTGTACAAGGATTCGACAGTTTCCAACTACCATCGATTAAGTCCAGTCCATGGTGGCTTACTTCGGGAAGGGTCTTGACGAGGGTATTTTCTAATATGATCAGGGGGTTGACCAGCAGGTCCCAGAGGAGGAGGGCGTTTATGTGGAGGGATGTAATTAGGAGGAACTGGGTGATGAGAGTCAGGATAGAAATCTGGATGTTGTGGCATGGGTTCTCGTGGAAGACGCCTGGGTGGTCCTTGAGGATAATCGAACCCATCAGGTGTATTTCTATTCTCTGGCCACCTCCTACACCAGTTGTCATCATCGTGGGCTTGTCTCATCGGAGGTCTATCGATCCTCCGATCATATGGACGTCTTTCCATACCTGGAGAAAACGGTCGACCTCTTTCTCCCGGATGCATTTGGTCGATAGGAAGCAAGTTACGATTACCATGCCCGTGTGACGGACCACTATTATAGTCATTAGGAGGTCTGTTATAGTAAGGATCATTTTGAGGGAAGGGAACGTTGTATTGTTCGCCATGCTCATGATCCCTGTAGTCTCTGTCTTCGCTGTGTTTAGGACCAATGAAATGCTCATGATCACTATATGGTTGTGGAGGTCCACTGAACGGTTCACGATATAAATTGTTTGGTTGTCCTTTTTGTGAGGATGCACTGAGTTGAGATGGTGGAGGAAGTTCTTCAGTTCTTTGATTCCAATCAACTGGTGGATCTGAAATAAGATTAAAAGGTATGTTATCATTCTGAAGCTCTACAAAAAAATATTTTGATTTGTCAACATGTATAAAAAAGCGAGCCACAAAATGGTACTATTTATTCATACTCATCGAACAGTAGTGGTAATCACAGCTAGCTAGAACACGATGTCAAGCACAAGTAAAGGGATTGAATCTATTGCTTTCTAATAAATTAGGTGATAAGCATTTGCCATAGCTTTGTTTAACTGAAAAATAGTTGTCCTTGCACAATGACTTCCACGGCATTACAGTTATAAGTAGCGAATAGACTATAAATGTTGAGGGTTCAGGTTTACTTCAGTAGTCTTATGAAGTTAGTAGGTAAACCAACATGAACATTCTAGTGCTTGGGTGCTCATCTTAAAAAAACGTTAAGAATTTCATCAACAAAGGGAAATAGAATTTATACTGGGTGATGATTGAAGGTGAGATGAAAATCTGGGCCGCAGTCGGATTCGAATCTGCTACCACCGGGTTACTGGCCCGATGCTCTACCAACTGAGCCACGAGGTCCGATCAATCATCATCAGTATAAATACCAGTCTGCGAAACTACGGTTATCTCATATAGTCAAATGATAAGGAAATAGAATTACCGTATACCGAAACTATACAACAGAGAAAGTGATTTTTGTGATTCGAAATAGGTGTAACGTGATTCCACGCCTTGACATGAATGATGAATAACAGAAGTTGAATTAAGGACACGCGTTTCAGATTCACTTCCCGGACGTACTTGCCTTCCCATTGAGACCTGGCATCAATCACTTCAAACGTTACAGCGTTATTTACTAGGCTACTGGATCATGATAATGACAAACTTGCGTTACGCAGACAGATTGATGTTATAGCTAGTAGTTTTCCACTATTGGCTCCTGTATGGATACCTCGACATATTTTAGCTTAATACTAATTATATATAGTGCATAGTAGTGGGATTCAGAGTTCATTGTAATTCAGTAACCCAGTGGATAAAACTAGCGTTTGAAGAGATGAGTATTAGATTCAAATTTCAGTGGGGAAAAAATCACTCAGTGGGAAGCGGATAAATCCAGCTAACGAATATCAAATAGGAAAAAACATACATCTTGGATTTCACTGCTAAACACTATCGTTCATTAGTAGCTTGCAGCTTGTTTAAACAGTAAAAATGTAAAATACTGTGTTTTAAACGAACAATCCATATAATGACATCAAATAGTATCACCAGTTACTTGAAAGATGAACTTAACAGAAATTCGTCTAGCATTTTAGTGGGTTATATGTGGCAACTACTAACTGTCAGACGGACAAAATCAACGCAAAACATTCCACACAAATACATCAGTTCAATTTGCCATACTTTACAGTAGTATACAAAGACAAAGTGGATAGGAAAAGATTTATATCAAAGTAGACTAAGGAGGGGGGGGGGGGGTCAAAACATTCAAGCTGTAGAAGACGTCAAAGAGGAGTGAATACATCTGCGCCACTGTAACTGATTTTCAACCATGTCACAAAGAGTCATCAACCACTGACTCCCATCGTCGTGGGCACCCCAGTCAGGTAGCCTACACTGATGTGATATTTAAACAAAAAGTTTAATTATCAACATATTACAGAGTTTGATAGTATTGAAATTACAACTAATGATGACCAAAAAATAAATTTGGATAGACTTTCAGCAGTTACCTTCAAAAGTAGTCAACTAGTTTACAATACCAGTCCGACAGGAGTAATTATACTTAGTTATTATATTACTACTCATTGTAGAATATGAAGTGAAGAGCTTTCGTGTATCATAGTAACAAGAAGTAATTACTTTCTTGATTAATTCGTATTATATACATATTTTAGGGTGGTTTTTCCTTTTATCATGTGCATATATTCCCAAATAATCTCCCATCTGTTTCCACTGTAAGTAAAGCTATGGCTCATTGGTTTAGGGAGATGACTTTCAACTAAGGGGTCACGGGTTCGAGCCCTGCCCCACCTATAGGGATTCGGGCAGCCATGTAGTATCACTAGCCTTCACACAGTAGGTGTGGCTCATTGTCTACTGCACACATTTGCACAAGCTTTCTGAGAGGGCTGATTTCCCAGTGTGGTGTCTTTAAGTTCAACGGGAAATAAGTGGAAATTCACAAAACTATTTATTGCTGTATGCACTGTTTTTTTCACATTGCGTCCATAAACTAGTTATTGTATGATACTCACAAGGTAGTACCTGAAATGCGCTTGACACGGCAGTAATGTCTGTATATCATAATGTTCGAATGAGCTTTATATTGGTGGGAACATTTGTTCCTACCACACAAGAGAAGTCTGTTGGGCGGTGGTAGGACAAAAAGCAGTTACCGTAATAGTATAAATAGCTACGCTAGAAACGGCACCGAAAACAGTTTGTGACCTAGATCGAAAGGGTTGGCAAAAGCCAGTGGATTCCCGAAACCACATTGCAACTGATTTGCGCGAAGCGACACATCTCCGCTGACTCTGATCAAGACGGAGAACGAAATAAGTTTAACCTTAAATTAACTAAGAGTCTTCGCAATGATCACGAGCAATGGCGTGTGGTGAATGCATCAGCACCCGGTAATACTCGGCAATGATTTAGGCTTGCCAGTGAAAGTGACAAGAAGAAAACGGTGGTAGGTGAGACCAGCAAGTATCTTCGCAAGATTACTCATATTAGGTGGATTTACTGAGTGAGTAACTCTGAGGTTAGATGTAATAGCGAAAGGAAATAAATAAGTCGATGAAGTTGTGAACCTTCACCGTGCGTTGAGCATACTGAGACACCACTTGCTTCAACGTAGTGTTAACCATCTGACTGAGTTAGAAGGCTTACGATGACCAGACAAAGATGTCGCACTAGTCCATAAAGTCTCTAAGCCATGTACAGAGGCGTAGACTGCTTGCATGTGATCCCGGAGATAATGGGAATCAATGATTGGAGAATCTTGGTGATATGGTCTGAAACCAGTCACAAACTGGCCCAAATATATTTGCTATTTGACAACTACATTTTTTTCTTTGCATGCTGCTATGAAGTGTAGCGACTTGGACCGTTGTACTTCTGTGCAAGGTTCGACGTCGATTTTGCTGTCTAACCATTCGTGTACCATTTATTGAGGTAAAACAATCACACAAACGAAATATTTTGTAAGAATACACTGACTGTTCTTGATGAACTAAATAGGGCGTATTTATCTGGTCCAATTGTTCTCCTCTTGAATTGGACGCTTTTTATTGCACTGTGAAAATTACTATACGAGTAATGTACAGGTAAGGTGTTGGATCGTAGATAAGATTCAATACAGTTGACGAGCTTTTAAACCTTTATCAACTAGTGTATGAGATGTTACTCATATCTCGTTGCTGTTTACTCAAACACAACGCATGATGTTAGCTGAAGTAATGTTAAGTTTGAAAAAGATAGATGGCTGAACTAAAAAGTGATATCAATCGAAGAAGTCTCTGGTTGATGATTTAATCCATGTGGGGAAATGATTTGGTGCCGCATGACAACAAAACCGTTGACTGCAGAATCTAAGCGACTTGGCTCAGAATCGACCTCAGTGATACGAATGCATCTGCACATTATTTTCATTCTAATCATTGATAAAAGTCACAGGATTGATATTAAAAAAGCTTTTAAAATTTTGCATAGACTGTCAGGGGGGCTAGCCATACTCAAATTTAAGCCTCCGTTATGTGTTTATCCTCACATCAAACATACCTGGTAATGCTTGTCGTATTACCAAGGTTGTCTTCAAATCTTATCACTCTCCCTTCATTATCTTTCTTATTATTAAATTCCTTTACGACAATATTGGTCCTTACCTTATTTATATATTTCCAGCTTTCATATATAATGCCTTAACAAGTAAATGTGTGATCAGATTGTTGGAAATGTCTGGTGCAAATACATCACACTTTCTAGATAATCTACGTCTTGTCATTACGTTATCTAAATTCAGAAAAGCGATCAACTGTTTCAAATACCAATATCTCGTTGTTGCCGTCATCTTTCGTTTCAGAAACCATAGTATATAGTTAACCAACATACTCTGGATCATCGCAAAAAGTATCCTACTACTACTGTCATCATTGCTCCCCAACGTCATAATCAGAATCCTATAGCGAAGGTAATGCGTTTAGATCTTAAGCGGATAAATATAAACAACAAAAGAACCAACTTAATTGGATACTAGTTTACAGTGCAACACTTCACATCAGCAAATCGAAAAGAGTTTAACTAAAATGGAAGGAAATAAGGTGGAAATGATAATATTAGCTATGGACAAAATTTTAATATACGGAAATAAAAAATGGAAACATGTCATCATGGGATAACAATGATGCAGGTGAATATATAGCACGGGTTCGAACTCCACTGCACCCACAGAGGTTTAAGCAATCAGCCTTCCCACAACAGGTGTGACTCATTGCCTACTACATGAATGTGCACACAAAATGGTTGACTGCGTTCCATTCCATATAGCATGGATGCATCTACGTTACTGTGACCAATTCCAAATATCGATAGGAAAATTTTAAACTACCGATTTTTGTGGTCTTAAAAGGTGAGAAAAACTTTCACATGATATATTACATTAGGCAAGTCCTAACATTTTGAAGTTGCATGACTAATCTATCATGTGTCTGTGGTAACAGCTTCAGAGGAAACGTTTAGATGAGTCTGACAAAAAGAGGACAGGAGGATTCACGACATCCCTGATCCATTGCAGTACTGAAGTTATATCAACTACTTCGCTTGTCATTCAGATATAGAACACGCAATGAAAAGTTAACTATATCTTACTTACATCAAGACTGTGAAGCGTTCTAGACGATAACTATCTGTCGGTGCGCTACTCGAGTGCTTGAGTTAACCAGTAGAATCATATTAGAAAAAGGTTAACTGTTTTTGAGCAGATACTTTAATCAAAAGAAACTTCGCTTTTCCCACTGACTGGGATTGTGGTATGATCAGTAAGGATACTTACGCTCGGTTAGGTATTATATTTGATCACAAAGAGACCATCTGAAATACTTACTTATATTATTTCTGATGTCGACATTACTTTCTGGGATTGGTGGGTTTTGTTCAGGACCCTTGTGTGGTAGTAAGTCTGAGAATTGTGGTTGATCATACTGATGGTTTGGAAGGCCATTGTTCATCTCATTCATTGGCTTTTCAACGAATGGTACTTGATTTGGATTGCACAGACTTCGCTCCTGACTTTGATCCACAGGTACATCAGGTTCTGTCACCTTTACAGGATTGATTGGAACAGTTCTTTGATTGAGCCGATCTTTATTTAATGCTGGAGGTTTTACAGGTGGCAGGTACTGGGGTGTAGCACTTAGATTACTGACAGCAGCAGCTGCTGCTGCAGCTGCCGCAGCTATAGTTGATGGACTAGGTGTTGGCATCATCACAGTTGGCATTGCTGTAATTCGCGTACTTGCCCAATTGGCAGCAAATTCTTTAGGTATAGTTCTAGTACTTCGAAGTTTATTTTTTTCACGCTCTTCAGAATCATCAGCATCTGTTATATTAAGATCTGTTACTGGCCCTTCATTAAGTCCAGGTATTTCAGTTGTATCCAAATCATTGGGGTTAGTAGAAAAAGCCAAGTCTTCAAGTGTATCTAACCGACTGGGTACAGTAGGAGATTCTGTAAGCACTTTAAGTAAATCAATATTGAACGAATTGTCAATCACTTCTTGGTCTCCAAAAGAGTATGTATTACCCAGCAAATTTGTTGTACCCGCAGTTTGAGCAAGATTTTCGGAACCAACTGAACTAATTGTTTCTTTAAGAACATCACCAGGACGATTACGTGTCCAGAATTTCCTTTTTTTTAAAGAGTTGAAAAATGTAAATCAGTAAAAATATGTTGTGCATAGTATCTCAAAAAGGAATTATCTAGTAAATTACATTCAGGAACTATCTCGATGAATAAAGCAAACTAAAAATAAAAGAACATAACTTCCAAGGAACACACGACTTGAGAAGTCGACACTAAAACATGTAATCATTAACATGATACAACTCAACTCGGCAAATGTTCTGCAGGGAACTTATGACAATACCCAGTCCTGTATGCTGAAATAGGTGGGGCAACGTATGAACTCAGAACTCATTGCTTTAAATTTGAATACTTAAACCAATGAATCACATTCATATAGTCTATTGGCATGGTTCATCGCCTAGTTCAATCAGTTATGCATACTTTACAAAGGCTAATGATAACACTGATTTGTTTAGGCTGATTTAAGTCATCCATCCAGATCAACACAGGACCCGGCATTACTGCGCAACGGCCCGAGTTGCCACACCTCATATCAGCACATCAAGTAAAAAGGCAGTCAAGTGGAAGATAAAGAAAAGAAAATTAAGTCAAAAGAAGTATAAAGTATCAGAAGAGAGAAAGGAAGAATGACAAAATGGTGAGATTTGGTATGGCATCGTTAAGATGAGGATAATGTGTGTATACATCTGCACCACTGACATCACTTCTCAGCCATATCACCTAAAGTCAGCCTACAATCACGCGAGCCCCAATCAGCTAGTCTCTAGTCAAACAATTCATACATTGATCCCATGCTTTAGTCTGGTCGATAGCCAAGAGCCTTTTTCCAGCTTGAACCTACTTCGGTCAACATTGTGTGACGAGGTAGACGGCGACCAGGCACACGTAACACATGTCCCAACCATCTCAGTCGATGAAGCTTCACAACGTCGTCAACTGATTTACCTCTATTCCCTAAAACTCAGCGCCTGACTTCTGCGTTACTCACGCGGTGACACCACGGAATACGGCCTATAATATGAAGGCAGTGGTGGTCAAACACCTGAAGCCTTCTCGTATCTTCCACTTTTGATGCCCGTTTCGCAGCCATAGAGTAGAACAGAGTGAACTACAGCACAGTATACTCGACCCTTAATAGACAGTCAGGTATCGCGGCAGCACCACAGATGGCAGAAGCCAACCAGACTTTTAGTATCCGTGCAGAGATTTCGTCCCCCACTGACCCATCAGGGATGATCCGATTTTCCAGGTAAGTAAAGTGTTCAACGTGCTCAACCACTTCACTCTCTATTGTTAGTCGGGGTACCGTTGAAGACCAGTCCTGGAGCAATAATTTGCATTCTAGTGGCGAGATACTCATCCCAAACATTCGTAGATTACAATCAGGTTCGACTGTCTTATAACCTCTATTCATAAGGCTCATAAAGTAACTTTATTGATCTAATATTTTCCGGTTTGACTACTCTGGAGACAATATAACACATTATCTTATTTGGTTAGCATACCGTATTAGATATCCAGGGCAATTCAGGTCTAAAAATACATCGAGGGATTACTATTTTCAAATGGAACTGTTTATGTAAATTGAAAATCTTTTCGCCACATATTGATGATACAAAGGTGATTAGATAAATACCTTTAACCTAGTCATGAATACTATTTTCAAAGACCAAATTCCATAGATATTCAAAGGAATTGGTTTCTTCACAAAAAGAGAATGATTTGTCTATGAACTATGAATGCCGACTAATAGTCTAGTACATAAACTTACAATATTAGCAGAATATATATTCTATGTATGATAGCGGGAGAGACAACAAAACGTGCGTGTGTGTCATAAATGGACTGCTACTGTGCTCCGAAAACACACTGCAATCCAGTGTTATATTTGACTTCAAGATGATTTGTGGACAAAACATACAATGATAGGTTTTCAGAATACTAACTTACAAAATGAATTTTGAAACAAACAGAATAAAGACTAAAATATGAATATTAGTATTACACATTGTTGAGATAATGATTTGTTAGGAAAAGAGGACAGATAATGCTATCAAATTAAAAGAATACAAGACAAAAAAATCCTCTATCCTACGGAAAACAGCACTGACTATATTTTGAGGGGGTTGTGTGCTAACAGAAGTTGGAAATATGGACCATTGGATTCTGACCCAACGGCTTAATGGTAACGTGCTGGTCACGGAACCTGAAGGTCGCGGGTTCAATCCCTGGTGGGGTCGTGGATGCTAGGACGAAACAGCTGTCTAGTGCTCCCAGGTTTCCTTTGTTCCTCCGACTGATATCAGTCTACGATGAATAACAACTGACTACATTTACCAAATTTCTTTAAACGGGAGAGAATTTAACATATCTCAACTTTTTCGAATAGTCCCATAACACACCCTATTTGCTTGCTTAATGTCTACAAAAATTTACTATTCTAATAAAAAAGAAGTCCTACTAGTTTTTGGAAATCATGTATCCAGTACGCAAACAAACTCATTTTTAAACTGAGAACAGTAATCAGGGGTTTTCGCTCAATTTTCATGGAAATGAACTTTGTTTCAAATCAAATCTGTCATTCTCATATAAAAGTAAAAAAATTTCAGAAAGCCTAAATCGAAGACTAACTATATGAAAGCAAACCTGAGAATCCGGGAAAAGTACATACAAATAGATAGGTACTCGGAAATGAGTTAAATCAAAGTATTCTTATTTGAGTTTCACACCCTGATTATATTGTATTGAGCGTACAACTAGGCAGCTTAACAAACTTGTTTCTGAGCACCTATCACCATGGCTAAGAAAGTTACAAGTGAAGTCAATACGAAGTTAACTTCTTTCGCATTTAGTCGGTCATGTAACAAATAAGATTAAGGCGTTCCAAATCATCTATTACATTCCACAAAAGCTTGCAAATGAAATTCCCACTCGCATTTTACATGATTGGTTTAATGTCTTATATATGGGGAAATTTATGTACATTTTAGATTTTTATCTAGAGGCTTGTGGGGTTTATCAATTGATTTTAGGTTGAAATTCACCATGAACTGACATTAGTTTGAAGAAGACTGGAAACCTTGCAGCATTGGATATCTGTTTGCCCTAGTATGGAACCTTTCAGCAGTGCGTACTCGTGACCCAACCCCGCTAGGGATCGAATCTAAGACCTTCAGATCCCGTGGTCAGCACGTTACTATCGAGTTACTGGGTCAGAATCCAGTGGTTCACATTTCCTACTTCTGTCAGTTCAGGATATAGCGCAACCTTTATCCAATGTCGTCGTTGAGTAACTATCCTCATGTTCGACTTGGTTGGCTCTGCTGGTCACAACTTCTCATTGGAACTTCGGGAATAATCACCTCTCGAAGATAATCACCAATGAGCGCTAGATTACTTCATTCTGAAGGTTAACTGATAGAATTGGGAAATACGGACCATTGGATTCCGACCCAGTGGCTCGATGGTGACGTGCTGACTACCGAATCTGAAGGTTCTGGTTTTGATCCCTAGCGGGGTGGAGTCATGGGTGCGCACTGCTGAGGATTTCCATGCTCGGAGGAGATGTCCAGTGCTCCCAGGTTTCAAATGTTCCTCTAACTGATCCCAGTCCATGATGAACCCCAACCTACAAACATTTTAGATTTAACAATAATATACTACGAAAGCTTACCATATCGTTGTAGCGTGTCTACGAATAAGTTTATATTTTTTATCAAAGTAGAGAATGTCATTTCACCTGTTCTGCTAGATAAGTGGGATCCTTTAAGAGGATAATAATCTGTATTCCAAAATGATTATTAACAAGATGAAATTGTTTCTCCTTTTTCTAGTAAGAATTATTCTTAGGAGATATATTGACAGGTTAGTGTGCTAAGTGATTCACACCCCCATTTTATTATTTCAACGCTCGTCCAATTTTAATTGTGTAATTGTTTATTTATTAGAATACAAACGTGGTACAGCAAGGGCACCAAGAGATGCGCCACACAAAATAATATAACAACAATATAAAGACAGAATTAAGGGAATTCGATAAAGATAAAACGCAATAAGAATAGAATGATTAGAAGCGCAATCCAGTAAGGTACATTCGAAGCAAAACATTCACTACTTTTCGGCAGCAGAAGATAGGAGGAAACTATAGCATGACCACCATCGGTTTCGATTCTGAGCCATATCTGATAACGTCTCAAGCGACTGAGTTGTGTGATCTCTTAGACCCCACTCAGGCAGTCATGATGCACTAACAGATGCCAACCCGATACAACTATCCTTCATCTCGCGGCACCATGTCATACACTGACCATCCCCACTCCGCTTCTTCCAATCAGTCCCAGGGTTAGCAAACAATAAACGGTATAGAAGCCGTTGGGACCACATGCGTAACACATGTTCACCACCGAAGCCGGTGTTTCCAGATGACTTCCTTTATTGAATTACGATCTCCATATGCCCAAACACATGCTGTCGTACCTCAAGATTACTTACATGGTATTGCAACCTGATACGAGCAATCCTACGGAGACAACGATGATCGAACACACAGAGTCGTCGCATATCCTTAGCTCGGAGATGTCAGGTTTCACAGGTGTAGAGTAAAACTACTCGCACCAAAGCGTTGTAAACCCGACTTTTTTACGGTCAGACTAACGTGGCAACGGCGCTAAAGGTGACTTTCGATATACGGTTGGAAATTCCATCTCACACAATTACTCAGATATACGAACTTTCCGACTACTTCCAACGGCTCACCACCGACGGTGAGCGTAGACACAGGCTCTTGCCAATCTTGCAAGAGTACTGTACATTTTAATGGTGTAAACCACACACTATACTTACGGACATGAATGTGATGAATACATTTATGATTAGGTAAGATAACAATAAAACAACGCATAACTTTAACTTCTGTACTAGTAAACTTTAGCTCTTACATTACCAGATGAAAACAGTTAAATGTGATATTGTTGTATAGGTGGTAACTGTAAGAAGCTTATCTCACACAGATTGATGGACACATTAACATTCATATTTATTTACCTAATAATTCAATATGGGCCTGACGCGTGATGTCCCAATCAGCCTTCTCAGTGCATGGCCAATCCATCTCCACTTCCTCCTGCATATTTGTTGCGTGATAGGTTCTTGGTTGCTTCGTTCCCAGAGTTCCTTGTTGCTTATTCTTATTATTCTGGCAATTCATTGATCTTCAGTAGCGAGCGTAAGCAGTTGTTGATGAATGTCTGTAGTTTATTGGAAATCCCTTTCGTGACGCGCCAAGTCTCTGAACCATACAGAAGCACTGAATTGACTGAATTGTGTTGAAAATCCGTATCTTGTTACATGCTGAGTGCAGAAGATCTCCACACGGTTTCAGGCTAATGAACGCCTGTCTTGCAGTCTTTCCGATTCTGACTTTGACGTCCTCGCTGTCCCGCCTGTAGTTGAGACAGTGCTTCCTAGATAGGTGAAGGAGGTTACTTCTTAAGTTTCTCCCGTTGATGATTGAGTTTGTTGTTGTTGTTGTTGATGGTGGTGGTGCGGTATCTTCATCACTTCTGTCTTCTCATATTCACCTGAAGTCCCGTCTTAGCTGCCTCTTCTGTCAACTTGTTAGTTTTTGCCTGCAGATCTTCAAGTTTTGTGACATTAGGCACAAGTCATCGGCGAAATCCAAGTCTTAGGTTCTTTTCCGCAGTCCAGCAGCGTATCCCCTCTTCTCGCTGCCTACTGTTTGCTGCATGATCCAGTCCACCACAGTCAGGAATATCATGGGGGTAGTAGACAGCCTTGTTTCACTTCTGTCTTCACTTCAAAATCATCACTGAGCTTCCCATTGTGAATTACTTGGAATGTGGCGTCTTCATATAGTTGTTGAATGAGGCGGATAAAGGTTTGCGGTACTCCGTAGTAGTGAAGCAGTTTCCAAATTACTTCTCGGTCGACGCTGTCAAAGGCCTTCTCAAAGTCGATGAAGTTGAGGTAGAGAGCTGATTGCCATTCTATGCTCTGTTTATGATGATGCGTAGTGTAGCGTTGCAATTTGGTCCAAACATGATTTGTACTTCCTGAAGCCTGCCTGTTCGGTCGTAGTTTGAGTCCAGTGCATCCTTAAGCCTCTCCAGGATGCGGCTTAATATTTGGCTTGCACTGGGTGGATAGAGAGTATTCCATGCCAGTTCTTGCAAACACTGAGGTCTCCTTCTTCGGCAGTTGAAGAGGTTACCCTTCTTCAATCAATGACAGGTACCTTCTCTTCCTTCCACACCTTCTGCAATAGTGGTGTGAGCATGTCCACTGTTGTCTCTGCATCTGTTCTCAGTGCTTCTGGCGGGATCCATTGGTCCTGCTGCTTTCCCGATTTCAGTAGCTTTATGGCGTTCAGGACTTCCATTTTCGTTAGAGGATTTATGTTCACTTAGTTCAGCGGCTGCAGGTGGTATTTCTGGACGAAGTGAAGGTGGTGGTGGTGGTCGATTCAAGAGCTTCTTGAAGTGGTCGGCCATGTTTCCTCTGTTTCTCTTCTTTCGTAATTAATTTCCTTCTTCATCTTTATTGGTTTCATTGTGTTGATCTCTTCCCAGATAGCAACCTGGTTATTTGATACAATGTTGTCAGTCTCTGTCTCTCCTACCAGCAGCAGCCTGTTTGCTTCACTTGCCAGTGTTTCGTAGAAGTGTCTTTTGTCTTTGCGTGCACTCTTCTTTACTTCTTTGTCCAGTGTTTTATACATTGTGCTCAGTTCCTCTTGTCGTTGAGCATCCTTGCACTGGTTTATCTTCTGCTTCACCATCCTCCTCTCCTCTATCAGCTTCCAGGTATCCGTCGAGATCCATTCCTTGTCTTCCACCTTCTTCCTTCCTAATACTGTTGTGCAGGCTTCTTTCCACATAGCTTTCAAAGACTTCCAGTGTTCCTCAACACAGGTTTCTTCACAGATGTCCCTCGATATCTCCCATTTTGTCTTGATGGCTGCCTTGAAGATCTCCTTTGTAGTTTCATCCTTCAGTTCCGAGTGTTGTACTTGAGTTGAGGTCTATCACCAGCTTCCTTGAAGGCTTTTAACTTGATTTGGAAGGTTCCTTGCACTAGATAGTGAGTGGTGTGAACCTACATCTGCTCCTCTTCTTGACTTGTGTTAAGTAGACTGCGTCTCCATTTTCTTGAGATTGAGATAAAGTCGATTTGATTTTTAGTGTGTCCTGGTGTCTGGTGAAATCCATGTCGCTTTGTGGATATCTTTGTGCCTGAACACAGTGCCTGACTCCAATCACCAAATCGTTGAATGCACAGAATTCTGCAAACAATTCTCCATTCTCACTCATTTCACCTAGCGCCTCTCGACCCAGGTTAGTTCTCTTCCTGTGTTGTCCCCTCCCAGTTTGGCATTCATGTCGCCCATTAAATTTTGATATCGCCAACTGACGTCTTGTCCAGTGTTGATTGAAGTTGTCTGTAGAATTCCTCCTTTTTCTCTTGCTCTGCATTATTTGTAGGTGCATAGCATTGTATGATTGTGACCTTTCTTCCTTTGAGTTGAATCTTGCTGTCATGATCCTGGAGGAGATTGGTTCCCACTGCATGAGAGCCTTCGATGCTCTTGAGGACATCATGATAGCCACTCCCTTCAGTGTGCTCGTGGTTGTCGTCTGGGTGACCGGAGTAGATTATTGATTCTCCAGTTGACAGTTTGGAGAGTCCGCTCCCATTCCATCTGCTTTCGCAAATCCCAAGCACTTCGATGTGATACCTTCTCATCTCCTTTGCAATCTGGGCTGCCTTACTGGGTTCAAACATCGTACGGACATTCCATGTCCCCACGTTTACTTTCGCTTTCATCAATATGAAAAATGTTATTTCCTTTAGAAATATATGGAAAATATTAACATTTAAGTTGGTATGTTTTATTTCGTAGTGAAGAATAGCTATATTAGATGAATATAACAAATGTGGTGAAAATCATATATATGAAAGAAAATCATCAATCTCAACAACAGTCACTACTTAAATAGAGTTCCACACACTTATACAAATAAATCGAGTCTGGATATTTTTTGAAAATAAATCAACTCCGACTTCGCCTTTTACATTGAATACTGAAGAAACCCTAGAAACCAACTGACTCAATCGATCAATTTAGATGGTAATGAAGAAACTCAAACCTAGTATCTGCTGCATCAATTATCTTCAGTCAAGCCAACAATCGAGAATTATATTGTAATGATTTAACTAAGCCGTGGTTTGGTAGGCTAGTATTTGTACTGGATGATGATTGAAGGTGAGATGAAAACCTGGACCGCGGCGGATTCCAGCCAGCAACCACTGGGTTACTGTCCCGGTGCTCTACCAACTGAGCTACGAGGTCCAACTGCTGACCAGAATTTTATTTCACTTCAATCACTAAGGCGGGTTTTGCCCGACTACCATGTGGATTCGTGACGCGTTACTACCGCTTGATCATATTCATACTGGCTGCCTAGTTAGGACTTCTCATCTGACTGAATCAGAGAGGGGGGGCATCATATTGATTATGATTTGACTATCTGAGATAGCCGTAGTTTGGCAGACTAATATTTGTACTGGTAGAGCACCAGGTCGCTGGTTCGAATCCGGCTGCGGTCCACATTTTTATCTCACCTTCAATCACCCCCAGTGCAAATTATATTGTAGTCTATATGATGGATAGCAGTTGGATCCAGGATGGGCGTTTGTCCCATTTTTGGACTCGTCAGCTGGATGTACCTGCACCCCAGTGAATGATGTTGTTCCCACTGAGCAGGCAGTATACAGCTATGTCTACATATGAGCCCATCCGCCAACAGGCGTCGAGTAATTCTACCCAGTATAGCAACTGGAGATTACAAGTAGAAACAACCAATGGAAACTCATGTTAAAGTAGTAGCAACAGCTCTTACGTTTGTTAATGATGTTTGCTCGAGAGAGAAAAAACAACTTACGTAGCAAAGTCATTAGCTCCAGATACTAAAATATGCCCAAAAGGATGCCATGCAAGGCTCCAAATCATACTTTCATGAGCATTGTCCACAGCGCCAAGTTCAGTATCCGTTCTATGCAGAAAGTAACAAAGATAAAAAGGAAAATTTGGCAAATGACCTATTCAGAAATTTAAGTGTACACTACCTAAAACAGACTGATTTAAGCTCATTGAGTAATAGTGAAAAATGTCATATATATAAACCTCTATATGTTATGGTACACAGCATAGAGTAGGTTGTAAATTAAGAATGCCTAGAAGGTGGGGGAGATGACTTCAAACAGGATTTTACTCCAACAGCTTCAATTCCACCTTTATACACATGAAACATCACTCAACCTTATTTACAAATATAACTATACAACAGAGAAAAATGTTTTTATCGAATATAAGAATATTAAAAGAAATGAAGTGAATCTTTTATAGAAAATATATAACACACTTTAACTTCAGTTTTACTATGTATATTACATTTGTTCTTCAAACCTAAAGTAATTAGACTTATGTAAACACACATATATATCTAATCATTGAACCTTTTTAAGATTATTTAGTTTATAGCTTACATAGTGTTAATAGACACAAAAAATGTACTTCAAATGATAAAAGTTGTTCATGTTTGGATCATTCCACTTTACATGAAAAGAATGCTAAGTGGTAATTGATATTATTCTGCTTTCGTTAAACCGATGATCCAATTTTATTAACTAGAAGCAGTGATATCGATATTAATTAAGTGAATCGATAGATTCGATGTTCCCGAATATCAATCTATTACTTTGTATCGAAAATGTTCTTCTTAACCGCATATTGTTACAATTAAAACACGGTACATCAAAGTAATTTACTTTTTTGCTTAAATTCTAGGTACTTAAACTGTAGAGAAATATTAGGCTACACCTAACAACCTTTTTGAGTCGACTATACCAACCAACAACAGAATTACACTTTAATTACAACATTGTATGAACTCAGACGAAATTACTGATGTATATGAAGCCATTTTTTACAGAATGAGAATAAAGTTTATCAAATTAATCCTGAATAAATAAATCTACTGAAGAGTAACACAGATCGATGAAATAGAGAGAATGATGATTTCGATTTCATGCAGCTGAATCAATAGTCGGTCTAACCTATTCAGTATAATTTGACAGTATTGTGGATTGGTTACTTTGTATACCACAGCAAGTAATCAAATTTGTTGTAGTGTGAAATTATGAAACTCTTTAGTTGCTTAGATAGAAATAGACACTGCTTTTTATAACTTTGTCTTTTCCCTTATCGGTTGACAAGTGGGAGATAATACTCAATCAAACTGACGAAGTTCTTTCATACTAACGGCTTACATTAAATTTTCAGGAAGGAGGAATTCGGTATATATGAAAGAGTGGCGGTCAGAATAGCTCATTAGTAACGTCTCTGATAGTGGCACTGGAAGACGTGGGTTCGAATCCCAGGCAGGACATCAATTCTGTAGAGGTTGCAGATACGCCCTACTGACGAGTGTCAACAAGCAGGAAAACTTGGTCCAAGGTTCCCTGCCGATTGCCTCCATCCAACTAATACATAAAATATCTAATATCAAAATTTCAGTTAATATCTATGTTACTATGCTCTGCTGAAGCATATGTCCGAATTAACAATACTGACCAGCTGCACAGGTCAAATTCGTAAGCAAACTAACAGTCAGGAGGTATGTTCCATACAAGTGAGTGATTATGAAGTGGTGCTTTTTAAACCCACAGATGCCTTAAGTTAATAATCTAAACACTAACAGGTAAGTTGTATTCATCATGGACTGACATCATTTGGAGGAATATTGGGAACCTGGGAGCAATGGACAGCTATCTCGCCCTAATATGAGACTCTTCAGCAGTGCGCACCCACGACCCTGTGCCCTTCAGGTTCCGTGACCAGCACGAAGTTGGAAATGTGGACCATTGGATTCCGACCCATTGGCTCAACGGTCACGGAACCTGAAGGTTCTGGGTGCACAGTGCTGAGGGTCTCATACTAGGACGAAACAGCTATTTAGTGCTCCCAGGGTTTCGATGTTCCTGCAACTGATGTCAGTCTATGATGAATACCAACTTGAAAAAAACCTCTAAATCCCCACAAACCCCCAAATTTAATAAGTAAGTCAACCGCATTCTCACCTCGATTGAGTAGGTAAGGTAAAACTGACGATTGAAAATACAGCACACTCTAGGAAAATTCCTAGATTATGAATATTTCATAGGCAAACAAAAAACTTAAAACTCACCCTGCAAGCCAATAGAAAATAGCTCCATCAGCGCTACCACTTGCAAATAAGCATTCATGGAATGGATGCCATGCAACACGCATTACATCACGTTTATGACCACGAAAAGTTTGTAATTCTGTTTTAAGATTACGCAGATCGAATAGTTTAATCAAGTGATCTCTAGAAGCTGTTAAAAACCAGTTGCCATTATCATTCCAAGAAACATCAGTACAAGTATTTTTATGTACATATCTAAAAGATGGATAAAATCGTTAGTGGATTATATAATATGTAACACATTTACAACTATTTGAATGTCCAATACAGTGCCAGTGATTGTTCACATATATTCACGTACTAGTTAGTGCACTTAATTCTACATTGTTCTTCTTGTGAGTCGGTCACTTAATGAGAACTCAGTATCTTAAAAGTTAGTAGCAGAAAAATGTTAGTATTTACTGGATGACATCTCGAACATAAATTATTCCGCGTAATCATAGTCCTTTCAACATTTGACTTTTATAGTCCTCTCACTTGATATTCTTTGTTTTTATTGGTAGTAAAACTTCCCACATCTCTGGTTAGTGTAAGGATTCAAACAAGGCGTTGAAGCACATAAAAGAAGCGTTAATAATTAATAATTATCTTCTACAATTTATTAAGAAATGTGTACAAACATATAAGAAGCAAAATGATAACAGTAATATGAATACGAATAATAGCGATAACACAAGTATAAATGACTTCAAAGCCTCAATTGTGTTACCATATAAGGAAGGAATATAAGAGATTTCACTTAGGGCGGTATTTAAACCTACAAACTCACTCAAGGATTTGATAGATCTAATTGGGTGAAATAATAATATAATCTACTAAATTCCATACAATCACTATGAGGTCAAGTACATAAGTCAAACTAGCCAGTCAGTGTCAGTTAGATCAGTGGAATATAGGAATTTAGAATCACAGACCCCAATTGCCATGCATACATTAATACACGATTATACAGTAGGGTGGAATAAAACCACTGTACTCAAGTCCAATATAATTAGGTGGAGAGAGAAAGAGAGAGAAGTTGTAGACTGAATTTTCATTCATCGAATCAACACCTAACACATGTAACAGAAATGACACAACACTGATACCAGAGATACGGAAACATTTTCTACCAATAAAAACAAAGAATAAGAGGTGATATTTATTGTTCCACAACGGTTTCACCATTTCACATTTCATATCAAGACAGAAAAATGCTTACATCAAATTCACAGTAGAAACCTTTACCTTTCACTTTTAAGATTTAGGAACACTAGAAAGAATATAAATAAGTCAGCAATATAAGTTCACAGAAAATCAACCTACAATTACCAGAACTCTTAAATACGATAGAGATGATAATTAATTGTGCAAAACATATTTACGAAAGCTGTTTACGATTATCAATCGAAACGAGATTACTTATACAACGTCATCAAAGGATGTTAACAAGACTGAACATCAACTACTACAAAGTAATTCAGGAATAGATCGTTTTGCCTCATATAAAAGGATTACTCGACGGATACTAGAAACTTAAGGGGATTTGTATGGTTTATACACCCCAAAGACGATCTCTCTGCAACTTATATTAAAGACAGAAAAATGTGAGTGCAAATGAAGAAATAAATGCAAATAACAACTAAAACTGAAATACATCGAAAAATACCTTTGAAAATTTCGATTTACCAATGATTTATGTCTAATGTCGAACAAACTCGAAAAATAACAAGTTGGCAGAAGAGACAGCCAAGAGGAGACTTCAAGTGGACGTAGAGAAGACAGGGAGGATGAAGATACCCAACCAGCAGAAGCAACTACAACCCAGTATCAATCACCACCAATGGGAGAAATCTAAAGGAAGTAGTCTCTTTCACCTACCACCAACGCACCATCGTTTCAACTACACACAGCACAGACAACCAATGTCAAAACCATCATCAGAAACACACCAAGAAAGGCCTTCCTTCATCAATCTGAAATCAGTGTGCACATCTACTGAAATACACTACACTACGCTACACTACACCACACTACACACTACACTCAGCATACAGCGTGAACAATATCCGGATTCTCAACACCAATTCAGTCAACTCAGTGCTTCCATATGCTTCACAAACTTAGAGCGTCACCAAAAGCATTCCCAACTAATCGCAGACACACATCAACAACTGCCCCCCTACAATCACTCATTACTGAAAATCAGATGATCAGAATAATAAGAATAAGCAACAAGGAACTCATTCTGACTGGCAACCAACCAATCAACCAACAACCCATCACTCAACAAATATGCAGCAGAAAGTCAAGATGGATCGGATATACACTAGGAATACCATTCGGGGACATCACACATCAGGCCACTCACTCAAGTGGAACCCAACTGGGAAACGACGAGTTGGGAGTCCGACACGAGGGTGACATGGAGGAGATGATGTGAGGAAGAAATGAAAGCTCTCGGGCAGTCGTGTAGCCAGGTTTAAAGGACTACAGAGAACAGAGTGCAATGGCGACGTGCAAATGAAGCCCTATGTTCCACTAGGAAACCAAGGGACAAATAATAAATAATAATAATAGCCACCTTTTTCGTGTATAGAGACTTTCAACTGATGGTTATATATGATATAACAGGATTTAATGATATTCATAAATTTCAATAGAACTCTTCAGCTGAACACCGTTTCCAAGCATTTGTTGCTTGTTTTAAATTTTATATCTAGAAAGAAATGTTTCCGATGGTTGGAGAACCAACATATATACTTGTCCAGTGCTATGTAGAACGAGGTTTGCGGCTGATACAGTTAATAATCATCATTACAAAGTACGATATTTCGAATGAACCATTGAAAATCTGCTGGGCAATGGACTAACTTACTAAATGCATTTTACACTCTTCTGAACACTACATGATATATTCATCAACGCAGGATTAGTATCATTGTTTATTAAACGAGAACTTACAATGTGGACACAGATTCACCGGTTTTTGGATCCCATAATTTTATAGGTTGTTGTGCATCTTTACTACCAGATATGATAAGAGAAAGGACAGGATGCCATGCTACACTACGAACATCGGATCCATGACCTAAAATATAATAAGTAGAATTTTACAGATTATGAAACACAAATGTGCAGTTTTTACTCATCTCTCTAAACATCCGTAAATATAGAAGTTTGAAATGATTATTTGCTTGAATAATACTACGTGTACTTATGAGTAGTCTTTAGGAATCGTTTATAATATATATATATATATATATATATATATATATATATATATATATATATATATATATATATATATCAACCATGTCTACGTTTACAGTATGACAGCCGAAAACTACTCATACTTAAAGTCGTACTTCAGACAAAAAGTGAAAATGACAGTGTACTCTTACTTGACATACGACTAACTAGATCATTTTTGATATTAGCAATAAAAACATATGCCAATGATGTACAGAATAGAAAAGGTAATTTTGGAAATACTTGAAAAACGTAAATAGCTACAGATCATTGATTTCACTACAATCTGGTATGATGCAATTAGCTATTATAACCAATGGAATCTGGTTGTTTTTTTTTCAACTTTTTCAAAAAAAATACGATAAATAAGTAACCAGAGAAACAAGTAAACCTTCCACATTTTTACTTTCGCATCAAATTTCAGTTTATAGATATTTCAGTTACAACACTTTTACTATATTTCTGACTAATCATACTTTGAGTGGTTTCCCCACGACATGCCTAATCCTCATACTTATCTGATAGCTAGCAACCAACAGACTCGAACTGTTATATTCCTAATCTGTACAAACATCTCGTAATCATCTTTAAAAATTTCTATCCAACTAGTTCATCCCACTGACTGGTTACTGATATCAAAAGACAGACAGATAAAATTAACGTAGAACCTCGCAAATAAGTCCATCGGTTCAAGTTGCCATTCGTCACACTGCCGTGCAAAGAACAAGTGGATAGAAAAGGACTGATATCAAATTGGACAAAGGTGTATAGGAAGACAAAATCTTTGAAAATGGAGGTTAGTCAAGAAAGATAAAGTATGAGAACACGTCAACAAGTGAATACATCAAGACCATCGTGACTGATTTTCAGCCATATCACCAAACGTCCTCAAACACTGATCCTATCGTCTCAGGGATCCCCTACATCTCAGACCAACAGTCAAGGACTTCATTGAGTAATGCCGCGTCTTAACCTGGCCACCGTGAGCCCTCTTCCAATCTAATCCAACTTCCCCTAGCATGGCATGTTGAGGTAGGCAGCGGCTCGGCATACGCTACACATATTTCCAAGCCACCTTAGTTGATGAGACTTCACAACCTCATCGACCGACTTGCCTAGTACCTTTCGCCTAACCTCGATATTGTTAACATGGTGACTTCATCACAGGGGCAAGAGATACTACGAAGGTAACTATAGTCTAAAACCTTTAGCCTCTGCATATCTTCTGCGTTCAGTGGCCACGTCTCATAGCTGTTTAACAGGACAGGACAGGACAGAAGAGACAGCAGCATAGTATACTCGTCCCTTAACAGGTAGTCGGATATTTCACCAGTGGGCGCAAGAGACGATGTAAGTTAAAAAATGCTAAACGATCCATCTGTCAAAAATGGGATCATAAAGCGGGGGTACAACTTACGTACATTTTGAATCAATTATGCCTAGTTTAATAGAAACCTTACATCCCTAGAACAACTTCAGAAAACTGAGCATTTACTTTCATCAAATAGATTTTGAATATAAACAACGTGGGAGATATCACTTTAAAAGTAACTAAGCTCTTAATTCGAATCTTTTAAAATGCAGAATATATCGTCGGTATTTATTGCAAACAAAGTTGACCTTTTAAAATATACATACATGAGATTCCTTGTTATATTTGAATCATTAGAATATGACAAGGCATTAATATGCTATATCCTACGGAAGCATTTCTGATTAAAATATACTTCACCATACCATAACTGAAAACTGCAAAGTGTATGATCTTTTAGATTGTTTGCTAAACAGTATCTACACAATTCACTATCTGAATTAATGAATGCTGTTACTGAGTGTAATCGGCCAGATATACTAGGAACTAAGATACCATAAATAAAAGAATGAATAAGAAATAAGGTATAGTATATATATTGTCCGCTCACATTAATGGAAATTCAACACAGACATCAAATGATAGGAAGTATTCATCAACATGACTTAAAAAAGAGTATATCATCATGTCGTATATTATTCATTTAGGGTTATATTACAGATAACAAGCGCCTACGAGTTAAATAAAGAGAATTAAACATGATCTCAATATGCATTTTCCCTCCAAGTTCCTCTTTTTCATTGGATTCCTCCAGTAGCTACCTAAAATGCAACGAAATCACCAACCAACGCACCAGAAGAATATCTTGTTACTAATTAAGATTAACGCTTTTATTGATGAATATTTCCGTATTACTCTTCAGTGTATGCATTTAGCTGATATCTCTAATCTCTTTCAGTAGACTCAACCAGAAAAAGTCGTAATTCATCTTTGAACTCTTTCCACTACACAAGATAAAACAATTTGATGGCTAATACCACCAGTTATTTACACCGATGAGAAATGAGCGAATCACATAGATTAATTCAAATACTTCAGGCCAGTCAGCAAGAAATTCTGTCACTTAGGCTTTTCCATACGGACTTCATGTACTTAACAGTATGCTCTTCATTATCAGTCACTCTATCGTAAAAGTAGATGAACACTAGCTCCGTTCCATCTCAGTGTACTGTTTTTAGGTACGGTGGCTTAAATAGTTGTACAGTAGTGCAAAGCTCAGTTCCTCAAAACTGAACTCAATACACTTCACTTCTGACTTCCGCGGTTTCAGCTTATTTTCTCCCGAGTTTACACCACCCCCTACCATCTTCGAAATCGGAATGTACTCAGAAACCTTGTATACACTCATGCGGAAGGCAATGAGCCACTTATTGTGTGACGGTTAGTGATACTACCTAGCTGCCCAAACCTCAGTAGGTGTGGCGGGACTCGAACTCATTCGCTGACATTCATTTCCCTAAACTAATGAACCACAACCCCACTTAACATCTTAGTTTCAAATACACTTCAGTGTCCATGCCACTTCGATCTAACCAGTAAAACATATTGCTGAGCTGTGTGGTCGATGCCTAATTACACATAGAATGCGTAGACAACTAATACTACTTTCATGTCTTTAATCAGCACTTTTAGTCTTCCCTATGTACTTTCTGATGAGAAACTGATATGGATTAAAATTAAGTGGTATGAAAACGATTTAGGTGTGAATCATTCAAATGTGGATTATATAGCTTTTAAATGCGAAAGTAGTAGACCCAAATCAAGAACTTGCTTTTCTAACTACAACCTAGCATCAATCACCACCAATGGGAGAAATCTAAAGGAAGTAGTCTCTTTCACCTACCACCAACGCACCATCGTTTCAACTACACACAGCACAGACAACCAATGTCAAAACCATCATCAGAAACACACCAAGAAAAGCCTTCCTTCATCAATCTGAAATCAGTGTGCACATCTACTGAAATACACTACACTACGCTACACTACACCACACTACACACTACACTCAGCATACAGCGTGAACAATATCCGGATTCTCAACACCAATTCAGTCAACTCAGTGCTTCCATATGCTTCACAAACTTAGAGCGTCACCAAAAGCATTCCCAACTAATCGCAGACACACATCAACAACTGCCCCCCTACAATCACTCATTACTGAAAATCAGATGATCAGAATAATAAGAATAAGCAACAAGGAACTCATTCTGACTGGCAACCAACCAATCAACCAACAACCCATCACTCAACAAATATGCAGCAGAAAGTCAAGATGGATCGGATATACACTAGGAATACCATTCGGGGACATCACACATCAGGCCACTCACTCAAGTGGAACCCAACTGGGAAACGATGAGTTGGGAGTCCGACACGAGGGTGACATGGAGGAGATGATGTGAGGAAGAAATGAAAGCTATCGGGCAGTCGTGTAGCCAGGTTTAAAGGACTACAGAGAACAGAGTGCACTTGCGACGTGCAACTGAAGCCCTATGTTCCACTAGGGAACCAAGAGACAAATAATAATAATATAAATCCAAGTACGAACATTGCTGAAGCCCAGAATTACACCAAATATCTTATCAGTGATGTATGAACATCGTTAAAGCATCTAGGCATTACAATTCTGTTAAACAGTTAGAAATGACAATCAGTAGTGACATAAATTGTACACTTAAAGAAACCAAATAACTTAAAACGAATGAAGTCTATCTGAAACAGGAGTTTGATGAAAATCTACAGATTCAATGAAAAGAGAAGTATAGTCTGAAAACAGAGTCAATTACACGGAAACGAAAAACGTTAACGTTAAGTAGCACAGAATTTGATCACATATAAACATGAATGGTTAAGCAGATGATTTTGCAACAATAAAAGGAATAGTCGAAAGAGGTGAAGCAGAAATCCTTGCGAAAAAACCTTTACATCATAAACTACTAAGACATGGATGTAGGATGAATTTTCCATTACATCATCGAAAGTAATCTCAAGAACAGCAGATTGTGATACAAAGACTAAATACAGCATAGATCTCCAAAAGAACTAAACACTATTCATTGCTGAACAATTAATCACATTGAGTAGTGAGTTTTCCTCGCAATCATGAACCTAACGCAAATAAGAGATAGACCCTAAAGACTTAGTTTTTGATAATTATATGATTACAGCACAACTTGGATACTATGACAGAGTACAATTCCAACTGGCTTTTGATAGAGTAGATGCATAACCCCCCCCCCCCCCCTATACAACAGAAATGTGAACCTAATTATGACCATTCATTTACACCAGGGTTCATTAGGCAGCCGTCAAAATATCCCTCAGACACCTTACAGATACTTCCAATTACAACAGACTCTTAACGAAAACCGTAGGGGCACCTGGAAAAGGAAATTGCTTCACAATAAAGGTGAATTCACCTACACTTGAAACTTTCGAGATCAACACTTTGTTTAACGGGAGCAAATCAACCTTTGCCAAACAATATTAGTACTCAGTTAAAAATGTATAGCAAACTATGCTGCAATAAAAATTTATTCAACAGAATCTCTATATATTTACAATAAACACCTAAAATTCCGTTCATTTTACTTGCATTCTGAAAAGTCGATAAGGAGTTTACTAATGAATATTAATATCGACTTAGAAGGTAAATAATTAACTTCCACCAACACTAAGTCTATGTTGAGACGTGTCGGTAGGACAATAGGTTAACCCTACTCACCTCGGAGCACGCGTTCTTCTGTACAACGATGGAAGTCCCAAATACGCACAGTAGAATCATCACTGCAGGTAACGAATTTATTGTCGAATGGGCAGAAACTACAAATGACAAAAGACAGTATTTTATATAGTTTTATTTCCTACACTTCTTGTGTTCAAACGCTAGTCCTTAAAAACAAGTGCTTAGAGAATAAGCAAAACCGTTAAACTGTATGTTGAGAAGCACAAGTGAGCAAAAGAAGGTAGGCTGAGAATCTTGTTTTCCGATTCATAGTAATTATATTTACAACAGTATCAGTAATATTTACAATGTATCACCAAAAAACGTCCAGCTCGACGTTACCTGATAACTTCAGCTGAGCAACAGCAAAGATATAAAATGCAATGCGCCTGAAGAATAGTAGGAATAACGGAATTGTAATATGCATCCCTGAAATGTGACTGAAATCAACACTTAGTGAAGCCACTATGCTTTAAACTGCATTCACATAATGTATTTAATTGACTACACTTCAGAAATCAAGCGAACACGCTTTTCTTTAATCGATAGCCACCTAAAAATAACTGTAGTGTAATCTATTATGCACCTCAAGACTATTAACTGACAGGAAAACGTTCATTCGCTATAAAATGAGCTGTTTTTCTTTGAAGAACTCTGATCATTTCAAATAATCTGGTTTTGCATGCCATATACATACACACACTGATGATATACGTTTGGATCTGTTCATCTATTTGTTCACAGATTGAAACCCATTCCCTTTTCTTGAATGACAGCAACTACTTCGTTTTGGAAATCATAAAATTTGGTATAACAGCTCAGTACAGTATATAACTAAAACATATTAACGAAGGTGTAGTATAACAAAATAAAACGTTTTGCACAGTACGGACCGATTTTCGACATTTGACTGGAATGCACAAAATTCAAAGGCAACACGCAACTCCATGACTTGATACAGTTCTGAAAAGACCAATGATAATTGCCTTAGTTTCTCCAGGCTATTTTCAAGGGTAAAACAATGCAAGAGCAAAGAAAACCTCTTCAGCGTATCTTATGAATGCTTTTTTCCGCATCATTGTCTAGATCTCTACAATGACGCGTCAAATTTCGAAAAAAGATGAATGTTCCAAGACTTCCAGCCAGCAAGGTTTGTTCCTCAAGGTATACTTGTTTAAACCTTTTAAAATACTTTGTTTTTTTCTGAGTGCAGATGAAAATTTCCAAGCCAATTTGTGAGAATATTCTCCAAGTTCCTTGAAAATTCCCGTTAGAATCCGAAAGACATGTGGATGAAAAAAGAATATTCTTTTCAATAACATCTTCAGATTCTACAGTTATGTGTCTTTATCGTTTAATTTTGTGTTAACGATGGGAATTTTTTATAACAATCCGTTAATAATATTTTATAGTCTAGGATTTCTCTTCGGATAAGACAACTTTTCACACGTCTTTTTGAAGAGAATTCCCAGACAACATAGTATTGTTAAACAACTGTTACAAGAAATCTTCAAGATATATGCGTCCAGAAATGAATTCCTGTGAGATCCATCGTACAGAGGTAATCCCTATAGTGTACAATCACTAACAAAAAGAATTATGAAACCATTTTTAAATACAATGATGAAGAGCATTGTACGCTTTCCAGATGGTCCAAATATTTGGAAAATATTTCTAAAGGACCTAACACGACTAACTCTCCCAATATAAAAGCTAACACAGAAACTAAATTCGGTTAAGTTCTCACTATCGACAGAGGTATTTAATCCATAATCACCATGAACGGGAGAAATTTAAAGGAAGTAGTCTCTTTCACCTACCACCAACGCACCATCGTTTCAACTACACACAGCACAGACAACCAATGTCAAAACCACCATCAGAAACACACCAAGAAAGGCCTTCCTTCATCAATCTGAAATCAGTGTGCACATCTACTGAAATACACTACACTCAGCATAAAGCGTGAACAATATCCGGATTCTCAACACCAATTCAGTCAACTCAGTGCTTCCATATGCTTCACAAACTTAGAGCGTCACCAAAAGCATTCCCAACTAATCGCAGACACACATCAACAACTGCCCCCCTACAATCACTCATTACTGAAAATCAGATGATCAGAATAATAAGAATAAGCAACAAGGAACTCATTCTGACTGGCAACCAACCAATCAACCAACAACCCATCACTCAACAAATATGCAGCAGAAAGTCAAGATGGATCGGATATACACTAGGAATACCATTCGGGGACATCACACATCAGGCCACTCACTCAAGTGGAACCCAACTGGGAAACGATGAGTTGGGAGTCCGACACGAAGGTGACATGGAGGAGATGATGTGAGGAAGAAATGAAAGCTTTCGGGCAGTCGTGTAGCCAGGTTTAAAGGACTACAGAGAACAGAGTGCACTTGCGACGTGCAAATGAAGCCCTATGTTCCACTGGGAACCCAAGAGACAAATAAATAATAGTGGTAATGATACAATTATTGACAAGAAACCTAACATTCTCTCATACACAAAATAATGAAGTGGTTTGAACAAGAATTTTAAACAGCAGAATGAACACTGAGCTACCATACAATATATTTGGGCGGAGGGTTGAAGAAGAATGCTGTTTGCAGAATGAGCATTTTTGTATCAATGTGACGGGCTTTTCTGAATGAAGTGCACATGATTTGCTAAGCACAGTGGGAACATACCCTGAAAATTTGTAAAGAGTATGTGCTAAGATACTTTTTTAAATAACTAGGTTCTCGAAGCTTAACAGCTAGATATCAATGTCGATTCTTTACGACGATTTAGAAATTACTTACATAAAAAGACAGCGAATCATCATTTAGTCACGTTTCTTGACACTCATTTCCTACAGAGAGGAAATAACGTTATACCGAAATAACTCCAAACTCCTTGAAGGTATCCACTTCTTAAAAAATATCACTTACAATCTCTTAACCTCTTTGAAAATAGTTCAAACACGAATGCGGTATCTTCTGTTAACAGTAAAACTTTTTTCATCGGTAAAAAACTATAAGGCGAACCAAGCGCATAACGAGGTATAACCAAATGATCAAGCGTTTCGGTTTCTATCAAACCATTTCCCCATTTTCCGCAAACAGCTGCTCCTAGAACCCCCACAAGAAATTAACATAAAAGTGCAACTACCCAAACTAGGAGCAAATACATATAAGACCTTTATTAGGCCTACAATTTTACAACTGGTGTATTTTGTGCTCAACAAAAAACAGTACAATTGTAAAAAGAAATCTAAATACTTGTCACATATAACCATAGTTTTATATCGAATTAAAGTTGTTGGAACTGAACAAGAGGACTCCAAATCAGGAAAAGCGTACCTTACGCCACGAATTGGTTCCTTATGTGCTTGATACATTTCAACATTGTTCATATTAGCTTGCCAATATTTGACATATCCGGAATGATCAGCAGTGAGTAGCCATTCTTCATTGTGAGACCATTTCATACAACGTATTTGTGATTCATGAGCCTGCAGTAAACAACATTTCTTATCAACTCACTACATATGATATATCTTAAAACTGCGTTGAATAAGAATTATGAAATGTGTTTAATCATTACATACTTAGTACAAATACGGAAAACGTTGCCGAAAGTCAAACTAGTACCGTTAAAAATGATAGTGGAAATAACAAATGCAACATTAGTAATGATAGGAAAATAATACATCTGGAAAGTTGAACAACTGAACTAAACACTACTAAACGCAACCGATGGAAATATATACTGATAAAAAACGATTGAACCAATATCAATTCACATTACCAATCTAAGCAAGCAAAAAGTGATTAAATTACTCTATGAAAAATTGACGGTAAAACAAAAGTTACAAGTTCGCAATGTTACGATTAGAAAGAATACTTTCAGAATTATCGTATTCATTAACTGCTTCAGAAAATCCACGAAATTATTAAAATTAAATTAGTAGATGAGTTGGTTACCACCTATATCGACTGGGTAAACTTTATGTACATAAACTCCACAGGCCAACCGTTTAAAACATACGGGACAAAAACTATTGTACATCGATCGGGACTGGATATCGAGAACACGAAACACCATTAAAAACATGTTTAACTTTGATGGTGTTGGGTTCTCTGAGCTGGTTGGTTCAGTCATGAAGCTTTCATTGTCCCAAACCATCCAGCTCAGATAACATAACACTATCAAAAACCTCCTTCTGAACTAAAAATATTCTGTATCATGTCTAATTTTCAATGTAGATTAGTACAAATGTATACTACGTGGAAACCACAAACCAGTGCGTAAATATTGCCTGTCTAAATCTGTTTTTTCTGGGATAATTGATGTCATCTACTGATGAATTTAGTCCTTTCCAAACTCCATCAGAAGCTATTCTACCTACATAACTCTTAGATAACACACCAAGTCTTCATAGACAGTTTACGAACAGACCGACAGGTTAATCTCTCCTAACTCCACCGACAGCTGCTACCTTTACGTGGTAATCCAGCTTGTCTATCGCAATAACTCAACGCGAACTAGGCTGGCTGAAACACTTGTTCCATGGAATCCTACCATACCAAGAAGGTAGGTCTATTGAATAGTAGTAAGAAGAAGGGGCAGTTACCGTTATAGTATACATTATTGCACTATGACTAGGGTTCGAGAATGAAACCGTACTGCTGGCTGGATGGGATGACTAGTAGTCGATGCTGATAAACTCCCTCTATAGGAAAGCTAGAAATGCTGAGTGCCAAAAATAGCACACTCCTCTTGTATCCCTGCAGTATGAGTTTTTCTTATCCGGTGTTAGAACAACCCAATCTCAAACTAATAAGTCCAAAACATATATCTCATGGACAGTGTGGTAACACACATCTATTCCTTTTTCTCCTTCAGGTACTATGTAGAGACAGCTTCCGCGATGTGGGCAGCCGAGAAGTACCAACCGCCCGCACGCTTCCAGTGGAACACAATACCCAATCATTCATAATCTACCTTCCTTACTTTTATCTCCACGCTTACCTTCACCTCTTGATAGAAACATTAAGCCATCCACTACTTCCCTAACTTCTCAATACGCGACCACTACCAACGATTCAAGCCATCAAAACACCATTCCTGGTCTTTTAGATTCCCATTATCGGCTTCATATTGGATCTTTCAACATCCTAGCACTATTTTGAATCCGAAAACATGCATATTTTGCCAAAACTCTAGAATCTCGAGTCATAGATGCATGCTGTTTCTGAGACACGTATACAGGACTCGAATGTGGCCATTCAATTTGATCTCATCTGACCAATGAGGTAAATCTGCAAAACTCGACTAGCCAGTGTCCGGAGATTTACTGACTAGTTCTTGTTGACTGACTGGTGCTGGTATGGCATTAGGTTATAGGGCAGAAAGTGTACTTCTCGACTCAATACTAGTCAACACTCATCTAAACGCTGTCTGACTGAAGGATCTGTAAGAACCAAGGATCCTGAGACTTGTCGATGCTTGTTCATAATCCCCTACGTGCCCACTGACTGCAGTTCAAATGACACAAAGAATGGATTCCATGAAAAGCTGTTGATTTTGCTACAGAAAGCAAAACGTTCAGATATAGTTACACCAGTAGGCGACGTTGACGCTCAGGTAGGAAACCTGAACCAGTCAGAAAGGCACCTACAAAATTCAATCCCGACGAAGATCGTCTGTTGCAATTTCGTTCCAACATCCACTTGTTCCTGGACAGCATCAATTTTCAAACATGAGACCACTGTCTCATATAGCGTCTGCCGATATCGAACCAACGATCGGCGGACGATTACAGCTCTTTCTGCAGCACCTATCAAGATTCTGACTACACGTCAGTACTTGTACGTGTATGTCTGCACCTTACTTATCATAGAAAACAAGTGGCAGTAAAGCCTGTGCGTGCTCCGCTGGAAGATGTGTGAAGTATGCATTTAGGGAGAAGTTAGCTAAGCATATATCTGAACAGTGATAGCCATCCGAATTCTGCGGGAACCTAGTGTTATATTAGGTCTGCTGTAGAAACAGCGGTAAAGACGGGTCGTAATCTGCATCCAAAGGTCAGCACACATCACTGGATTTTAACGACCTAATCCGAACGGGTTGATATGAGAAGACTTATTCCAGCTGGCTCTGAACACAAAGAGTGAAAACAGCTGAAGTATAAACTGACATAGAGTCTTTGCAATGACTACGAGCAAAAGCTAGGGAGATACCGAAGATATCAGCATTAGGTAATACCAGACAATTATTTAGGTGTATTAAGTATAGAGGCAAGGAGGCAATGGTTAGTGAAACCATCAACGACGAGGATAGGACTCTGATAAGACGGCTAGAACGTTGGGTCGAACACTTTGAAATACAGTTCGACTGGCTAATAGCAATACTTCAGTTGTTCAAAACCCAGCCAGCCCAAAACTTGGATGACACGACGTCAGTCCCCCAACTCTCCTCGAAGTTCAGAAGGCCGGTCCGAGACCACAACGATGCGAAGTAGTAGAACCTGATTGTTTGCCACCTAACCTTTCCAAGCAAGTTAACTGCATAGAGTAACGACAGTACTGGATGGTGCATAGGACTTAGAGGTTGGTCCACCAGACTGGTCTAATTTACTGATCATTCCTGTAAATAATAAAGGAAAGGAATCTTGCGACAGCCACAAGGGAATCAGTTTGACCAAAATTACGTCCAAGATCTTTGGGTCTATAGATGTCCGATGTCAAACAAGAACTCAAGAACAGCAAACTCGAGGAATCCAAACAGGTTTTAAACCTAGACGAGGACACATCGATCAGATTTTAACCAACCGACAGTTTCTAAAGCAAAGGCAACTTACTGGCGGCTAAGACTCGCTGTATCTCTCGACCTGAAAGCTGCATTCCACTCTGTCGACCGTGAGATGTTGTGTCTGACTGTGGAGGGAGTACTGAGTAAGCACATAATCCTTATCAAAGCTCTACTCGAGCACAGGCAGCTACGTAAGGGCCTATGGGGAGTTGCCATCAGAATTGACAACTGGTGGTCCCCGTTAGGGATATCCGCTGTCACTGTTCCTGTTCAACTTCTTCACAGATATGTTGACCCAAGTGACCTTGGGTACCACTAACTTCATCTACTCCCTGCAGGGCATGTGTTCGAATTGGATTAAGTAGACGACATAGTGTTGCGAGGTGAAGATGATGACAAAATGCAGGGTCTTCTGTATGCCTTAAACAGAGATGTGTGTTTCATATGAATTTTGCATTTGTAAAATAACGCTTTAGGGCCGGTTTACAGCTATTTACAGTTTGATGATAGGGAGTAGTAGTGGAATGTGCCGAACACTTCACTTGCTTGGGGAGTTGCGTCGGTCAGGGTGCGCTAGTTGCCGACGAAATCTCAACTTGGATACAGAGACTGTTTGGCATTTGCTAACTTGGGTCATCTCCGGAGCCAACTAGCGAAATATCCGACTACCTAATTAAGTACAGGCATTCTAAGACACTGTTCGTCGCCTTCTGTTGTACAACTGTGAAACATGGCAGTCAAAGGTGTCTTTGCAGCATTGCTAGCGTATGGTGGAATCACCACGTGAGCAATGTCGAGGTTATGTGAAGAGTACTAGGCAAGGAAGGAAAACTGGTGGAAGAAATTCAGAATCTTCAGCAACTGAAGCAGCTTGGACATGTGTTGCGCATGGTGAGTCACAGCCCAACTCGAGGTGCGGTGCCGGCAGGAGTTAAAAGAGGGCTCAGGGTGACCAGACCAAGACATAGCACCAATTTATGGAGTCTCTGATAGTTGATCTTAGCCGTGTAAGGAGGCATAAACTAGCTGGTTGGGGTCCTCAGAAGGATATGTATCAGTGGTTGCAGACCCTTGATGACATGACCGAGAACCGGTAACAATGGGGCAGACGTATCCACTCTTTCAAATCTCAAGTCTCAGCATCTTCACCTACCTTCATTTTGAAAGTGTTCTTTCTTCCATACAAATGCATCTACTTTTATATTAGTCTTTTTCTATTCACGTGTTTTTTGTATGCTACAGTGAAGTGTGGAAACGTGAACCGACAAGATGCAGACGGTAGGGTCCTCTCTCTCCTAAACTTCACAAAGGTTAGGACTGGTAAGTAACAACTGGTTGTAGAAAACGCGACTACTTTTGTGAAGCCACTATAAAACAAGTGGCTAGAACCTTCCTAACTTTTTACTGATAGAGGTCGTCTCATTTTTACGAGAAAATTTATACACCTTATCACTAAAGAATATGCGATCAGCATTATGAATGTAAATAGGTGGTCACATCTCTAGCGATTGACGTATGGTAATTTATCATTCTTCCATATACTGAAAATACGCATCAAGACACTAGAAGAAACGCTCTTAGCACACGGAAGCAGAAATTGTGTTGTATTTCGTTGCAATTTTTTTTGATGGACGCCTGTCTAAATCATTTTAGCAGTCTACTCTGTCAAGCTAGTGCTTTTGTGTTAAACAGCATTAGCATCAAAAAGCAACTACCTAATGACGGTGAAATGGTTCAATTTACTTACAAATTCGAGCAAAAAGACTTCTGTAGGATCTACTAATTGATACGACAAAAGACTACTCCCTAGCTGCGCAGCGCGCTCTGAAACGACACACTTCCTGTGTCACGCGCTTCGGTGAAAGTGAGAACTTCTACCAACTCATGGAGCAGATAACATTTCAAAACTCACTATTCTTTTTTCTCAACAAACAATGGACATAGTGTGTCAATTTAAGCTCACCGCTGGTAATACTATCTATGGTCGCATGCAACCTTATCCGAATGTTAGCAGCACCAAAATCACAGAGATAAGGGATTATGTTTTATTGATGGATAGGTCAGTGGATGTGACCGCTTACTGATAGTAGATAAATGTACTGGTACAATTAACACCCTAACGACTTTGTACATACCTTGGTCAGTCTCATATAAAATTACAAACTCGTCGAGGCAGGTTAGGAAATCATTTCTACATCGGAAAAGACTAGGATCTTTTTAATATCATGTGTCTTGATCAATCTTGACACATACTGTGAAGCATATAGGCTTCGTAAAGCTCTAATTATAAAGATTAAGGTAGCGAATCAAGAGGCAATCCCAGATAATCAATGCCGTTTCAGGGGACGACTCTAAAACAACAGAACTCAGGACGGAAAAATTTAAAATCAAAGACAATTTAACGGAGGATCTTGGATGAATGATTGGTGACGAAAAATAGGGTTGAAGCTTCATCGTGATACCTCATCCAAGTACTTTTTTGATGACTGTAATCGACGCTCAAGACTGTCTCCGATAGCGACATCCCACGAATATGATCAGTGCTCATCAAGGACCTCATATTAAGATTATCTGTGGAGCTGTCTTACTGCGAAAAAGATAATCCAAACACCCACGAGTTTAGTGGTTCAGATGAATTGCATCCTCGCTTGTCAGCACAAGCGGAAAACAACAGCGAACCTCCATCTATCTACTGAAGCGATTGAAAAGATCCTATTATAAGACCGGTCTAAAAACTGGTCGCAGGTTTTTTGTAGCTAACGACAGTCCAATTAATCAGGATTTTGAAAGAAATTGTCCACAGTAACACTTCAATAAATGTAGAAGAAAATAGGCTATCAGCTACGGGAAGTTATGACTTACGAGTTGATCACTTGATTGACAAAACTTATCACGAGAAGAAAGGATTGAGTTGTAATCGGTGACATGAACGTAGAAACTAATGCAGTATTCACCGACTTCCGTAGTGAGGATAAGTTACTCTTTTCAAGTGTTTTGAATGCTTTCACAGAATGGTCCATAAGAGCATCCGTAGGAATTAGGACTACTAAGAGGGTAACCACGAACCTACTATGACAAATCAAATAGCAACGCAGACGGTGTCCGAACCCTTTGTTTATGGAAAACTAAGTCAACTTACCAATTAATGAGGTAGGAAGTCTAAAAACTGGAAAAGTCCCCCCACCCACCCCTTCAGTTTTAAAAGTTGTCAGTATCCAACAAAAGCCTCTGTAAGAGTTACTGATGTAACTGGCTATTGAAATTTCATATAAAATGTAGGGGTGGGACATGGGCACTGACATACTGTAAAATCCTAACAGCAACATACAAAGAACTACTATAAAATGGCTAAAGAACACTGTAGGAACATCTTTTTTATGGAAATAAGCACTGAACCAGTTCCTGCAGTTAATGCTAGCAATGAAAATCTTTCTCTGGAGATGTTTTGCTCAGCAGCTTATGCAATTTCCACTGAGTTTAAGTTCGCGTTTAAGGAGTACGAGAAACTGACATTCTCGCACTTGAGCACGAGATTTGTGTTGTCCTCGGAACAAAAACACATATATGAGTGAGTTTATTGGATGCTGACAACGAAATGCAAAGCATTTCTACAGAAAATCTAGTTTTTATACTATTATCCAGTTTCGTGATAGCTAACTGCAATGAATGGAATAATAAGGACATTATCTGGCATCTATTCTGCGAATAACCTGATCCTTTCTTCTTGATTCAATAAATATGAACTCCTAAAAGTATCTGGAGTTATTCAATATCCGGGTGTGCTGAAGTATACATTAAAAGTACTGTATTACAAAAGTACTACAACTGCACAAATTTCTCGTATCTCAAACCTATCAACCGCTGAAATATTTCGGAAAATAACAAATCTCGTGCAGTGGCACCCTGGTGACGAAAAAGTATTTTCGAGAGATTTTTCCGGTAGTTGCGACGCATCTTGCGCTATCAAACAACAGTTGTCACCAAAATCATTTAAGGCTCGACGATAACTGTCTTTATAAACGAGGTCATTGGAATATTAATTGCTACACTAACACCCTATAAAAAATTAGTGGTTACTGCTTATACTACAAACCATTGAAAAAAACTATGCTAAGTCCCCCAATCTGTGACAAAATATGAGCCCATGTTCTGCGTTGCATCGATAAACTGCATTCCCATGGTGAAAGAGTAGTTACAATACAATAAGAACACTCGGGATTTTTATCATGTCTTTCTTAGGAATTAAATGTAAACTGAAAATAAATAACCAATGTAATGCAGTCTTCATCAACACCCTCACCATGCAGTTATCCCCCTTCATCTTCTGATCAAATTATAACAGAATGTAAGCTGCATTCGCACTACGCCCAAAAACGAACGTCGGCTAGTTGCAACTACTAACCACTTCATTTCCTTGTGGTAAACCATGGATTCAAACTACTGTTGGTATCAATGAAACAAAATCACTTGAGACAGGCCTCTTTATCACTCACATCACTTGCGGATATCCGACTGGGTTTATGTATGGGTTTCCTAAGTTGTATTATTACTGTTGCACTATTTCGTACTATTACATGCAATAACCTTATGTACAAAGACTAAATGAGGATACTATACTCTTCACTTGATTATCTACAATATGATAAACAACAATCCGTACAGTCACCCACAATTAAATTATTTTATATTTTTCATTAGAAGAAATTTTTAATCAGGAAATTGCATGCTCATTTAAAAAATAGAAAAACATTGGTCAGCAGGTCTAACCAACTTTGTGTATGGATTTGTGGGTTACTGCAAGTCGTGATCTTTGAGGCAGATATCGAAGGTTCCCGAATTTTATGGTTTCTTCTGAAAGCCTACGAGGGTTTTGAAAGGGGGTTATTAACTTTACACCAAATTTATCCGACCCTATTTCGAGCGTGGGGTCTAAGCAGTGGCCTGACCTGGTATGAACCTAGTACAGCAAGACAGATCCAAAGGGTGGAGAGTGACTATCAGAGGACTATTCAACCCTTTATACAAGGAATGACAGAATCGTATCGATTTCCCCTTGACTATTTTGACGTAGGATGAAATGTAACAGCGTACAGTCTTTAATAACGTCCTGGAGGTCTATTAGCTTTCTTTTCTAGAAGACGAAGTTATCGAAAAGTCCAACAGCTGTGGTCAATTCGCTTACACTAGAAATGTTTTTTGGACCACGTTGTGAATCAATGGCACTCTCCGTCACATTTCTACATTCAAGACGATGACAAGGACTAAGATAGGTTAGTGGTCTGTTATCCTGAAGTTTAAGGAGTGAGCGCTACAGTTAACTATAGCAAGGAATTTCAATCTTATGCATCAAGCTGAATACCATACTGGGAGAAATGATGCAAACTAGCGAAGACCATTCTCATTTCCTCCCGTCCTTAGTCCACTTGTGAAAAATTATGGATTACCATCGGTGCATTCCGCTATAAATCTCGCTAAATAGGGGCTTAGTAACCAGTTAACATAAGAATCATCTGCGCTGTTGAATCTTTCATACCAGGCACCAGATGCATGGATGTAAAAGTACAATTCTAGCAGCGGTAGCGCTGAACCCTATATTGAATAACTTTCCTGCTATAACTCGGAGCTTTACTTTCAGGATGAAATTCCGAAATAAGCAAGAAACTTTACTGGAAGCCCTATTCAGTGAATAATTGTCAACTGAAGGCATGAAATCCAAGTCAAAGCGACTAATACACTAAAAGTTGATGATAACAATAAAAACGGACTTTGGAAGGACGTGAACAAAACCTGAAAGATTTGATCAAACTCGACAACTATCTACCCGGAAACAAAATCACTGCATGTGCTCACAGTGCTACAGAAAAGAAAGTTTACTCCAAGGTACATATGACACGAAAAATGAATGCTCTACAGGTTGGTATTTAGTTCAAAATAACTGGGTCATACTGTGCCTGCACATATCCCAGTCATTCAACATTAGCGATTGTTTCGAACCCAGTGACACAAATATGAAGACAGTTCACAACTTTTAGGACACTTCCATCATAAAAATGACAAATAGGTTTTCTTCAAAAGACATGAGACAAACATACTTTACCTGCAAGATCGTTTCGAAGTTAAATGTCAAGCCGTTCCATAACGTGAATTCACCACTGAATGCGCCCGTTATTAACCGCCTACCCTCAGGAGTCCACTAAGGCAAAATGATCAGAATAGTCTACTTACACAAACGCAGTATATAGGACATTTATTTTTGTTTGTGGAGGTACGGACAGGTTTCGACATGACACAATTCATCGGAGAGTCCATATAGCTCCTTGGCGGGCAAAGCTGATAAGTGGAAGCGATTTTTAATCGACCTTACTTTAGGACTCCATAAGTAGTCTGGTTGAAGCATAGGACGGTCCGAATCTCTGTTGATCCAAATTCTGTTCTGAAGATAATTGATGGCTGAGGCATTGTAATCAATTGTGCGCCTAAAAACAGCCTTTCTTGATTTCCGTACATCTGCAACTAGATCAGATGTATCTTTTTTCGAAAGGTGTGGATCAACATATGATGTATCCAGCTTCCCGAGATTTTCAAACATAGTTTTGACACCAGTACGGTGCGACAGACATTAGTACGCCAAGTCCCCAAGGTGACAACCAACGCGCCATCCAATTAATTCAATGTGACAAAACACTACAATTACCTTCTCTGAACTGTGAGCCTCAAAACTGTGATATACATATTCAGGTATACGCTGAGGAGTGAAAATTTTCAAAAAACCATTTAGATAAGTTTCTGTAATGAAACCGAGTAAACCAGTAGTTCACTCATGTTGCTCCAGATAACGATATCATACCCAAGACAATAACGCTGGCAAGAATTTTCGGCCTTCAACGATGAGAAGAGGATGTAATTAACTTTAAACACTCTTTTTGACTGGAAATGCTGTAGACATTCAATCTTGCAGACCACAGCTCGGAGTTTTAGGACAATTTGAGCATCAAACAGAATGTTCATAAAGATAAGCAGATATATATTCACCATCTTATCCACATCATCAGTCAGGTCCAAACTATAAGACTTTATACAGACGGCAGACCTTCGTATAAGAAATGACTGAGACCTTCTGGAAAAAACTCAGCGTGCAATCACTCCTGTGTCCCTGAGATATCTGCCCTGACCTATGAAGATCGACTCAAGGAGATGGATCTTTTCTCTTCAATCTACTGCAGACAGAAGGTAGACTAAGCTATGCCATATGGGACTTCAGGACACAACTCCGAACCTGATCTATCTTCTTCTTTACTTCCCACTGGGTCGAGACACCTAAGAGGACATGGCAGGAGAACACAAAAGCAAACGATGAGCGTAGTCCCAGAACTGTACAGATTCTCCCTCCTAGCAATCTACTCGTAGGACTGACACCTAGGAGAAATGTCGTCCACGTCAAAGACTGAGCCGTTCAAAAGAGGACTGGACAAGTACAGAGACCTACTGGAAAAGGATCAATATAGGCTCACAGCCTTCTATCCTCAGACTACAAATCTGAATCTGAAATGCAGACAGATTAGCACATCGGCTTTTCACAAACCTTCAGTCATAGCGGCTACAACTACGCTCTTGATAAGCGAAGGTTAGCAGGATTCGAAACCCATCACCGTTTGATACGGTCTACCGAACATACTTTTCCTACCTGGTTACCATACTGTGTTCTTTCTTTGTCCCACACTTGCGGGTATTCAGTAATCAGAAAGAATTGGTGGTTGACTTCTACGTCTGTTAAGTCTGTATCAGTAAGATCCCCGGACTAGCTATCCCGTTCCTCCTTGTCCTTGTTAATCTTTTTATTCAAGCTGATAACTTCAGTTTGCTTGTGCTACGGCTCTCTGTATCCATAAGAGACCAGACTCCCAAACCTATCCACATTAAGCCCACAATGCATCCGATCCAGTGAGTGCTACTCTGGTCAGATGACATACAAAAGCGGTTTCTCCTGGCCAAAGACGACCCCCAAGGACGGGCGTCAAAGAGCATTGTTCCGAATTTCTTGCTGTCGTACTACCATTGCCGCGGAATCAAACGGGCACGTTATGGCGCATATCGCTAACTCTGAAGCAGACGATCCTCATACACTGCTCAAAGTAGTCCTCCCAAAAAGTTTTTCCAGGCATCCTCAGGGCTCAGATGAACTGCTCCTTAGCATCAAGCTGGGAAACAACAAGTTGACTCTCGTGGTTGTCCGAACGAGTGAATTTATTGGCCAATGAATGCTCGATAATGGTCTTTTTCGTGAACTGTTTCATCCGAAACCACCCTAGCCAATGGGAACCCTGCTGGTTACACCTCAGTCGGATACCATCGGCGACCTGGTGACCTCGGCTGACAAGACAATGAAGATATTTAGAATACCTGTCTCCAACATGTATTAGGCTTATGAACAACCTAATCGTCTGGATTGAGAAATGAAAGGGCTATGTAACTCTTTCAAGCAACCTCTACGAACCTCACGCCCCAGGTCACGACAGACAATATAACAACGAGGTATTTCGTCACGTGGCTGGCCAATGACTACGTCCTAAGTGTCTGGAAGCTCTGGGTGGTGTTTTATCGATGATACCGCTGAAGACGAGGCAAAAAATTGCCTAAAGCAGCGTACTTCCAAAAAATGACTTCACGAAACTGGAGGGTGTGGCTACCTTTATCAACACTCAATGGTAATCACCAAATTGTACATTTTTCCCCTATTCTAAGGACATTATAGACTGTATCACCGTTAGGTATCTTTCCAAACATCCAGACAGATTTAAACTCATTTACACCGCCAATATCTACGTCACTCCTGGTTGCAGCTTTTCCGAATTATCCAGATTCACCGATTAATTCATGGAATTCACTGCTCCGAAAATGTCTGGTTATTGCTTACTGGTTGCGGTGGTTTTAACTCTCGTAACTGCAGTTTCCTGTACTCTCTTGGTCGGGATAGCCTAGTCAGTTTTTGCACTCTTTTGATGCCACGGTGAACTTGGCCTATGTTAATGAACCTAGAGCACATGAAACCCATTAGTGTGCACCACTGCCGAGCTCGGGCCACTTAATTGTACATATCCTGCTAAACATATGTAGCTAGTCACAGAATAATACTCTTAAACATCAATCTAAGAAGTCTGTGCTTTATACATGACACTACACATGAACTCAGATACATGTGACAGAACACAAAACGGGAAATATTTGAAAATGATGCTGTAGATGATGCAGTTGATACCGTTACATGCTATCTTGAATTTTACTTTGATAGTTGGTGCTCAGCTGGAATAATTTCTCTAAGATCTAATAAATTTTCTCCGCATTAAAAAGACCCCAAGGAGAAAAGGGATACTATAAATCGAAAGGAAATGCTGGTGTTAAACGACTTAACTGTCTGATCAAGTCTGAAGTAAAACGCCCAAACTTAATGTATAACCAGAGATTACGTCATGTAGAAAGTTTTCAAGCACATGGAGACTTTTTAATGGTCTCACTGGAAAGAGAAACTCAGAAATGGAACCTGCGAAAACATTTGTTCACTAAAGAAGTCATTCATATGTAAACCAGCTAATCTTATCTAGTTCTTCAAGCATAACACAACTCGGGTTTCCTACATTCAATGAAACAGATGTGTTTGAAGGCCTAAAGTCATTAGAACCTTTGCATTGCCTTGATCAAATGGCATGACAGGTATTCTTTTCGCGAAATGTGCTGATATTCTATGTCATACGCTCATAAGCATTTTTGATGAGCCTTTTGCCAGAAACGAAGTAGCAGCCGCCTTGAAAAAAGTTAAAATAGTTCCTATATCTAAGTCCATGTCTACTGGAGCAAAAGTGAAATTCTGGCCGACGGCAGTCACCTCACCATTCCTAAAAATAATGGAAAAACCGTTGCTTCTTACTTTTGAGCCTTCTTTGCAGGCTTTCAGTGATCCAAGTCAGTTTGCCTACAAACCCAGAAGAAGTACCTCATATGCCACAGTTGTTTTGCTTCGAAATATCACCATCAGCCTGGAAAAAAGTATTAACTATGTTAGATAAGCCTTCTTACATTATACCACCACCTTTGACCCGGTCTCTAAACACCTCTCATCAAAAAAGCTTGTCAGTTCTAAAGCTGAGTCTTGGATTGTAAACTGACTTGGTTCATATTAATCTGAGGGGAGACAGTGCAACGTATGCAGAAAAAGTGACCTACTTCGCTGTTTGGTGAAGCAGGTGTGCCTCAGGGTGCTTTTCTTTCTCCTTTCCTTTCCTTTTTCTTTCTGCGTGACTAGAAATCGGGAGCTGCTCAGATGCTGATGTGTCTTGCTTCGTCTCCGTTCTCCTCCGAAATAACCGCATGTACGCCTTCGTGGTCGGATCTTTCTCCCTCTGAAAGCAACGGTTTGGACTTGTGCGAAGCCTTTGGTACTCTTCTGGGCCGTACAACCAGGCAGCCATGGATAAAGCTGACGGCTTACTTCAGCTATCACAGTTTTTGTACATTTTACTTGACCTAAACAACTTTACCCTGCCTTATTTTCTCCTAACTACTTATCAGAATGAGTGGCAACAGCGTTTCAGCCCCAAGTAAAGTCTCCTTTTAGCTAATAACGCCTTGTTCCTTGGTAGTAACTACGGCCAGTAGAAAGAGGTTCAAACATGAACCAGGGGATTACAGATCTACCTCAGGAGGACAATCGCGATAACCACTTCCCCAAAAAATTGGAATCCTGTCCGTCAGAACCTATCTTCTTTCGTTCAGCGAAGAACATGTCTCTCCGGCACACCTAGCTCAAACTCTAGCCTACCTGTAAGGACTTCCACAAAGGGAAGGAAGAGAAGAAAGAAAAGCCCTTGATCAAAACCCGTACCAGGCTGATAGCTGTCATTCGTGCAGTCTCACCATGGCCAAAAGTGACACGGCTTTTTAGCTTAACATTTGCAACAAGTGGATACGCCACCAATGTGATGAAGCGGTACCGGACCAATATTACACCCTCTTGGCGCGGCACCCATGCATGCAGTCATGGTGTATCTGCCCATAGAGCAGTGTTAGGCCACTGCTTTCTCCGAGCATGCTCAGGGAGGTCGTAAGAGATACCACAGTAACTGCAGAGATGCTGGCGCCCACACAGACCAATACCGAACGTCCAAATAACAACAGTGTCACCATCGTTCCTCAGGCAGTTACACCTGCGAACGGTCCAACATGGCCAAACGACGACCCACCACGCAACCAAGCGCGTCAACCTCAAGCTCTGAAGTTGCCTTAACGTCCACATCAACTGTTCATCGTGTAAAATGGTTTACACTGGAAAAGAAGGCACAACCTTCCCATAAAATCCAGTACATAGCACACGACGACAGAGACGCTGATGTCGGATAGAAGTCCATAACCTTATTTTGCGTCCCCGTGGGTCACAACAGTCTTTCTGGAGAGGGGAATCTTTCAACAAACGGTGATGGGAGACGTCATTCTGCACACTAGGACTGGGTATCTCAGAAGTAGGGTTACCTTGGCTCTACAACGGCAAAGAGAGTCCCGCCAGTGAGAGTGACCCTGAACTCTGCAAAGGAGGCTGAAAGATTCCTGTTGGCCTCATGCACCGGCCACCAGCCGGTCGTCTTGCATTAGAGCCAGATCAAACCTGACATTCATTCTTGAAAAAA